AGTTTCCTGAAAAATGATACCCTATTCTAGACCTAAACGCTCTGATTTATATACCCTATCCTAGAGTAAACTGCTTGAAAACCATACCCTTCACGGCAGCACATTCCTATATAGCCCATATATGGCAGTACTCCCCCCCCCGGGTCCCAATGCAGGTCCCAATGCTTATTCGCGTGCATATGTAGACATAATTTATGAAAAGACAAAGGTTCAAGTTTCTCTGGGACCTCTATTGGGAAAACAAAGTGTACAAGTTAAAGAGGTCTACTGGTTAATAGTGTAAAACAGCGGAAAAGTTCAGGTGGCTCTGATCCTGTTCCTCACAAGTTTTTCAAAAAGTTGAATCTTGAAACGTTGACAAGAATTTGATAATAAGAAACGGAGGTCATAGAACTCGTTTTTGAGTTATAAGCACTTGAAGCCGAATTTTAAGGGTGTCTTTGACAGGTTATGCCGTTGCTAAGGTAACCCAGTAACTTAAACATCTACACCAGTGACTGAGCACATTTTATGCTATTATCATATTTGCTGCATCTACTGAAAAAGCGTGGTGGTATTTATCGATGAAAGAGGTGCTCTGTATGATACTTGAAGTCGTTACTAGCCACCTTTGATGTAAATTAATTAACAATTATTGGACGAGGTTGATCAAAATTTCGTGATTTTTCAGTGGCGAGTTCGGCTTCAGCAAATAATTGATCTGCGAGACGACCATGATCATTATTTTGTAGGCAGTTATTTGCAAGTCACGCAGTGGGCTCTCGGCCAATGAAAAGGAGGAAAAATATGCATCGAATGATATTTGATATATTTGTTTTTTATTCTTTTTTCTGTCTGTGCAGCTGATTCCATGTCCAGTTCCAGTGTTTCCATGTCCAGTTCCGGTGTTTCCATGTCCAGTTCCGGTGTTTCCATGTCCAGTTTCGGTGTTTCCATGTCCAGTTCCGGTGTTTCCATGTCCAGTTCCAGTAGTATATCTGTTTTTCCGTCGTCGTCTGTGACCTCACCACCATCATCACAGAATCAGTCATCATCCATTTTCGCGTCAAAGTCATCAGTATTGACAATGCAATCAGCAAAATTAACAAGCCAAGTTGCATCTTTGCCGATACCTGTACAACAGACTACTACAAAAGGCATTTCTTCCACCATGTATCAGCCTAGCAGTGCTATACCACATACCACACCTGCCACCAGCGTACCTACATCAGCAGGTAGGGGACGTTTATAAATATGACCTCAATCTCCCCTGTCAAGTCAAGGTCCTCATGCAACGCGAAGTTACAAAACTGACCATGGCCCAGGGGGAGGGGGACGAACTTCCATAGGAAAGTAACGGGGATGCGCTTTGTCTCCCTTAGGGGTATAAGCCGCAGATTTTAGTCTCCCAGAATGATCGGGAATAAAGCCAATATTTTACCCCATCAAGGTATCGATTAGATTTGTGCCTAAAGAAATATCTATACATACTAGAGGTAATCGTTGATTACGGATCCGCGTTCGTCACTTATGGAAACGAAATGGAGTCGAAAGGTGTCCAGTTTCCCGGCCGAGATGCCCCTGATAAAATCAATAGGGGCAGCTAATCGTCAGTAGCCCGTGATAGCTCGAAAATTTCTACCTTTATGCCACAGGAAGACCAGACTCGTTTGCGTTCTTAATGCGAAAACAAAAATGCCATCACACTTTTTTCTGAATATGGCTCCTTTAGGGGTCAAATAAAGCCTGAGTCACGCCAAGATTAGTGTCCTGTGTTCTAAATTTCCGAGCATCCACGTCTGTTTCATGTGGGATTTCCTCCTCCCCCAGGGGGGGACTTTGGTCACTGTTGATTCGCTCATCGATCATGCGGAGACGTCCTTCGAGCCAAAACCAAGCATGTATCTTTTATATTTAGGACATTGAATTGTCTGAAATTGGTTTGCCAATTGACATCGGATGTCATCCCAGTTGTTCAAAAGGTTGATAACGCCATCCATCATCCAACAGGTAAAAATCTCTATCCACTGGACCCGGGGGGAGGGACTCCCATATGAAACAGACGGGGATGCTAACACTCATTGCATGTCGTATTTGTGTGTTTTTAAGCGGTCTCTTTTAGGGGTCAAAATTTGCTTAAGCCACGCCCAGATTGGTCTCCTTTAGGGGTCACAAAAAGCTTGAGCCACGCCCAGATGGTCTCCTTTAGGGGTTAAATTCAAAATTTCCGACGAGCATCCCCGTCTGTTTCATATGGGAGTCCCCCCCCCCCCGGACCACTGGGTAGCGCAATTGGTTTTCCTAACAGTATCCACAGGATAGCAATTTATCCAGTCGATAGCGCTATACATCATTTGAACAACCGGGGCCACGCTGATAGCTTTTGATCGAGCCACAAAACCTAAACGTTCGGGAAGGAAAATGTCGTGCGATTTTTTGTAACCCATTTCGGTCGCTTTTTCCCGAAATTTCTGACTCAGTAGCTTGCAGCGTATAAATATTAATAATATTGAATATATTGAACGCAGCTCTTCTACATGTAAGTCTGTTCAGGTTGAAACGCAACACACCGCAGGAACATGCTTGGCCAAAACAAAACGGAATTTTTGTGCCGACAACTATTTATTTTTGTCCAGCTTTGCTTCTCTTCAAGATCCTTGATTTGGCCTTTATTTTTTTTAGCATTTAGCGAAAAACGATATCATCCTAACAGTTTTAAACGAAAAAGTTTTAACGAAAAAATCTTCGGACTCTTATTAATTTTTCGAACTTTTTCCAGTCCTAACGTTTTAGTATGACCAGGGTAACGGGCAGCCTCGTTTCCAGGACGATGGCCTTAGAATGGGAAGCTTTAGCCTCGTTCCAGAGCATTTTCCATGAAATCTAATGGAAAAGCCCTGGGGACGAAATTGACAGCGGGGCACATTGGCACATGCACATCTTCCTATCGCTCCTAAATTCTGAGGGAAAAGCTCAAGATCAGGAAACAAACCGTTAGTGATGCACTCCTGACAGCAGTAGGGACTTTAAGATGCCACGACGGCGACGACAACGAGAACGTCTAAAAAGCAATTGTTTGAATTAGCAAAACAACAACTCTGCACCTGCATTACGTTTTTTTGTACATTTCTTTGCCGACACTGCACGACTAGGACGGGAAAAAGGAAAATGCCTAATTTCACGTTGTATGGAGAATGTAAACAAGCGACCTTTCTGAACTTGAATATAGTTATTAGGAATTCGGCTCAAAAAGAGTTCGCTTGCCTTTGACAAAGTTAATGAGTTGATGTAATCGCGATAGAGATTGAAAGAACGAAAATTCACTTTTCAAGCGACGTTTTCGTGGCCGCCGCCGCCGTCGTCGTGGTATGTGCTCTTTCTGGCCTTCATAGATTTTTTTGGATCAATTTAGGTTTCCGGGGAAACTGCCCACCCACCCCTCCCCTAAGCCAACATTGTCACTTACTTCTCACTTGGGGCAAAATGTTGGCTTAGAGGAGGGGTAGGTGGTCAGTTTCCCAGAAACCTAAATTAATCCATTAGTTTTCCCTTTCTCTCACAATTTTCCAATTTAGGACCAACATCAGACAAGTCGTTTTCGACGACAGAATGGATCCTTGTCGCTTGTCTTGGCGTGTTCGGGCTCATTTTAATCACTCTGACCATCCTTGCAGTCCAAGTGTCACGTCTGAATAAAAGCGTCCAAAAGTTGAAGGTTTCATCGGGTTTCTAGAAGACGACCAACCTGGGAAACGCCATCAAAGAGGCTCGGCTTTTTTTCCCGACGCGAACGTGTAAAAAGCTTTGTATCTCGATAGCATGCTGTATTAGCTTAGTCAAATGTGGAAAATAAGTTTAAAATAATAGTTAACTGTAAGATAGGCAAATTAGACGATAAAGCTCTACTGCAGGAAACTAACACTAGCTCAGAACGATCAGAGAGTTGGATTTTAAAGACAAGATAATGCGGACCCTGCCCCAAGCTTGCGAGCAAGCTTTTCGCGACTTATCCCCCAAATGAAGACCTTGCTCGCAGGCTACCTGTCCCACTGCCTCTTCCCGCCCAGCGTGGTTCTTGTAGTCAGCGCTGGCGCACGAACAAAAGGAGATAATGCCACAAATGCCTTGATACAGTATCTACAGCGTGTAGAATATTTTTGTGACTAAGCGATGATAAAGCGGTTGATCGCCTTGAGTGTCCACTGGGATGCGAATGACGTCACATCAATTACAAAAGCGAAAGATCCGCGTGTAACCATGCGCATTCTCACTGCCTAAACACTTTCTTAGAGTCTAGTGCCCGCTACAGATTATTCATCAATCTTCTTACAGATAACGGAATACCTTAAAAACCGGTGGGTTGCAAAATTAATGTAAGTTCTCTTGCTGGAAATAACAAACTGTGTTCAGTGCGAAAGTGCGTTTGTTGCTACTTGCTCTTTAAAGAACAGCGGAGTCCCATTAATGCAACCACCGTTAGGCAACCGTTAGGCCACAAAGTCCCGAACATATTCACGGTCATTCACGGGGTCTTCAAAATAATCAAATCGTTTAATATTTTTTGCATTTTGGTCTAAGTAAATGTGTTCGTAATAACGCAGAGCCGATCGTAAAAAACGAGGTGATCGCAAGGCAGGTTTCCGGCACTGTATAATAAGAGAATTAATAGATTGCAAAAACTTTACTTTCATGTTCATTACTGCATGTAATTTGTCAGTTACGATATGTGTAGATCCATGTTGTCAGTAAAACGTACTTCGTATATAAACAGCACAGTACATACAGAGAACATAGAGATCGCACCACGCGTCAAGTGGTGGCTTAAAAGAGGTTAAAAACAATAAAAAATTATAAAACCGTCATCCCAATATAGTGATCGCGGTCGCTTCCAGGAGGTACTCGTTTACGAATGTAAGGTTCCAAATGTAAGGCTTTGAATGGGAAAAAGTTTGACGGATGTTTTAGATAAGGTGTCGCTTAAGAAAGGTCGTCGCACCTGTGTCACAAGCAAGTGCGTGTCAGGGGTCGTGGTTATTAAAAGGTAAATGCATTTATTTCATTCAGCTTTGCCGGACAAATTCGTTAATTTTCAACATTCATTTATCTACCGCTGAGCGACCATTGGTCCATTAGGTCATTTCTAGGTTTCCAAAACCTTGACTTTCAAAATGAGGCAAAGTTACGATTAGCTGCCGGCCAAGTGCAACATTATTCATACGAAAGAAAAATTCATACTAAAGACTTCATGAACAATTGCCCTAGTTTCAAAATGATGGTTGGTGAAACTCTAAAATTTTCATTTGAAATAACTGCGCTCATGTCAAGTCGCAAAACGTTTCGCTTACACAGCTGAAGCTTTGAAAAGTTGAGCTTTGCCTGCCTAGCTGGAGGAATTGTTATGGGTGGGGACAGACTTTCTTAGCGGCCGCGCCTTGGGCGAATTCGCGAGCGCTGGCTTGCTCCCAATCTTCTCCCGGCTCCGCCGCCGAAAACAACAGCGCACACTTGATCACTAATCCCTCCAGCTACACAGCTAGGCTACCAGAGCATTTAGAAGGCAGGTAGGATAACCCTCTTACTAGGGTAACACTAGCACTTAGGTATCAAATCAAAACCGTTCAATAGATAAAGTCCAGAATCTGGGAAATGAAAGGAGGTACATATACAAAGATCCTGGCCAAGATTCAAGTCAGAGGAATACTTCGTATACGAGATATCCCAAGAAATGTTTTAACCGAACTTATAGAGATTTGTATGGAGACGCCATGCTGGTGCTCACCTGGATGAGCTCCAACATGGCGGACGGAAACCAACAGAAATATCAGTTACCGAGTTTTGCTACAAGAGCATGAATTTATTCTTCGAGAAACTCATAAACATTAAAGTAATACTTTTCCTAATACACGAACTGTTTAGATAGCAAAATTTCCTGAAATAAGTCATTTGTTTTTAACCTACAAGACAGCTCTCTTGACCGTCATTTAAATGCCGCGTCACGCAAAAGCTTAGAAATTCAAGCGTATTCTATCACAAAACCAAGAACCCTTTTGAAGCGAAAATTTGTATGAAAATTAGTTTTCAGCTGCTCTAATACATCCTGAAAGCAAAATCTCGGTAGGATCGATAGTTTTTAGGTTGAATTTTAGTGACGTCATGTGAAAACCAACAATAGTAGAGTTACCCTAACGCTAGGGTAACCCTTACTGCCTAGTAAACACATCGCTTAAAAAAAGAAGAAATGTGCGAGTGCTATTATAACCCCCCAGCCCGGGGGGGTAACCCTCTTACAAGGGTATCCTAGTGCCAGGGTTACCCTCCCTCCTTGTAATCAGGCCCTACGGTTGAACTCAGTCTTTTATCCAGTGAATATTTACATAGTGTACAAAGCTATCCACTGGAGTCTCTGCGTATTTGTTACACGCAAATTCACATCAGTAAAGGTTCAGAAGCCAGTCATTTTCTTTATTTCTTCAGCCAATTCCAGACAATCTAAAACTAGTTTCTTGTGCTCAGCTATGATCTCCTTACTGCACTCCCCCCGGACCTTTGCTAGGAACAATTCCAAATCTCTCGCAAATAGCCCCTTGTGTCCGGGGGTAGGCTGAGGAGGAGGACCGGGGGGAGGTAGCGTTAAAACAGTGCCATCTTCAAATATAAATTCCTGGAACCTCTTCCTTGCTGTGCATTCCCGTAATCTCTCGATTTTCCATGTCAATGGCCTGAAACAAAACAAAGCAACCGATGCATATTGACACTTGCGACAATCTATCCTAAGAGACAAGTGTCGATCAGTAAGATAATGAATAGTTAGTTACCGACATAGTGAAAACTATTCAAGCACTAAACAGATACTTATGTAAACCTTAAGTAAGCGACTTTCTTTCAGAAAACGTCTAGCAACCAGACATACCGCATCCTGAGATCCTGGGCAAATCACTTAGAAATAATATGTAAAACAAAAAGATGTTTAAAGTTCTAATGTCCTCCTTTTTGCTGGCATCGAATCATATAAATTGCCTGGATGGTAAAGATTACCTTAAATAAACGCTGGCCTCCCCTGATTTAGTGCGGCATTTTTTCGAGGGCAGCTTTTATTGGCACTGTTGCTTCCATTTGCGGGATTTCAATCCAGGGTAGCGTTGAATCGAGTAAATAGGATTAAAGCATATCTTGCGAATGTCAGCTGCGCAAAAATTGAGCAAGAGCATCTCTGAACTCGTAAAGACCTGATTGCGGCTTTATAGCAAAAAGAAAACAATAGCAACAACAACATAAAAAAACTCCCGGCCAAAAAGGACAGGAACCCCCGCCAGAAAGTTGATTGGACGCACCTGCTACCCTGCTCCCTTGCTCGCTGGAGTACCCCTTCATAGGCCTTATCACCGCATGTAAGGGAATCCGGATTCTGGAATCCGGGAAAAGTATACTCATGGATTCCTGAATCCTGGGCTTTGGAATCCGGATACAACACAAGGAATCCGGAATCCCACTTAAGATTGGAATCCAGAATCCAGGTTCCACAGAAAAAGATTGGAATCCAGAATCTAGGTTCCACAGAAAAAGATTGGAATCCAGAATCCAGGTTCCACAGAAAAAGATTGGAATCCAGAACCTGGAACCCGAAATCCACGGCAAGGAATCCATAATCCAAGACTGTCATTGGGCGAGCCTTAGTGGAAATCTCACCTGTTTTCCGAGGTGAAAAGTTTGCAGGTGAGTACATGACGATCTGTTTCATGTACAAAGTGAGCTTCCTTCAATGTCAGACTGCCAAATAGGTCGGTGAGACATTCCAAGGTTGAGACGCCAGAGAAACTTGGAAACCCTGCACGGTTTATATCATTAAACCACTCTGAGGCAAAACTGGCCTCTAACCTAGCTGTGCCTTCCTTGAGGGAAAGATCCTTGGTTTTGATGGTCTTCTTGAAGTCTTGGTGTGCAGGAAGAAGAAGAGCTATGTTCTCAACATGGCATATCAGTCCTAAAATCGCGTACAAAGAGGAAATATTTCAAGACTACAAGGAGTTTTTTTTTAATATCAATGAATTCTTAAATCCACAGATAAAACATAAGACATCGACTCTACTGCCAAAAACCGATTGAAGCTTGATCTGTTTTCTGGTCCTTTTACAGAGAGAAAGGAACAAAATGAACCAAAACATTCTTTTCAAGTCAAACACTAGTCTTTTGTTCCTTTCCTTCTCCTCTTTTAATAATAGTAATGATAATGATAATGATGATAATGATGATGATGATGATGATGACACTGATTTAAAGAGGGTAGCACAGAAAGCTAACATGAAGTAACTAGAAGGGAGGCCCTCGTAAAATGCAGAAGGAAATATACGTGGAAGGTGAAACAAGAGCTTATATCAATTTTCCAGTCAACGTCTTTGGTATTTAATACTGTTGCCCTTTTCCCTTGCCCTTTGAGAGGTTCTGCGAGACACATATTTCTAGTTAATAGAAGGTCAGCTTTTTAACTTCTCTCTCCATCATACCTTTACTCTCTGCTAAGTTAAAAAGATCTTTGCCACCTTGTGCTGACAGACATAATGGATAATCTACCAGTACATGCTTCCCATGCTCCAGTGCTTTCCTGCAAAGTTAAAATAATCTGATGTTGTTTAATTTGTTTAAGACTATCCCTGATTTTTTTCCAAGTATTCATCTGTAGGTAATTACAAGCATGGGAATATCTCACTAGGAACCGGTAGCCACCAGTAAATGATCAATCCCAGCTCATCACATCATAACACTGTCTGGGCCACAGCCAGGGATAATCAGAGGCATTCCAGGAAGGCAGGCTTTATATGGTACAGTGGAACCCCACTCTACGGACACCTGCTTAATACCCTGGTGGCGGGGGGGAATTCTAAATGATGGCCTATAAAGGGACGTTCCACCTGAAGGGGGCACCTCTACCCACGGGCCTTAGGTATATGAAAGGGTAGGGCTTTCTCTAGTTGGAGTAGTTGAAATGGTATACGTAGGGAAATCTGTATTTCGGTCTGTAAAAAGGCCCAAATGTGCCAACAGATGCATTTTATGGCCGTGAAAAAGTTGAGAAAATGTTCTGTTTTAAAGACAGTCCATTTACAGCTGTTAAAGGCCAATGATTTGTCAATAGAAGGTAAGTAAGTAGGTAATCGGTTTAATAGAAGGGTTTCCACACTGTGGCTCTTTATCTGTTACCTATAACTAAAAAATAAAAATATGTATCAAATATTTACAACAAAAATGTACTTAAAAAAATAGAGAAATAAAAAAAGAAAATAATAGAACAAATAACTATTAAAAGAGAAAGTATTTTATACAATGATCATATGAATAAAACTTAATTATTAATTAAGATAAGATGGTATATGAAAGAGGATCCTTTTCTGTGAAAAATAGTAAAAGGATAAGGGGTTGGACTTCAGGGTGGAACCCTCCCTGTATAAGATTGTGTTGAGTTCCCCCCCCCGGCTTAATAAGGACACCTATATTATAAAGTTTTGTTTGTCCTCACAAAAAGCTCATATTTTCTCCACAATCAACCCACTTATACAGACACTAGTTAATATGGACTTTGGACATTTTTCTGTGTCCTGAGTCGTCACAAACTCTTATACTACTATTGTCAACCCCACTTATTTTTATCAGTCTGTCAGTCTGGTGCTTGACCCTCATACTGTAATCCTTTAATAAAGTTTTCTGCCTCCTTAAATTACACAAAGTCATTCACTTCCTTAGCTTTTGGCTTCCCTGAGTCATTGCTTGTGTGTACATGTATCTTTCTATTGATAAAACATGTGTCACTCCATGACATTCTTTCTGAGACCTGGCTTGACATGGATACCCGGATAACATGGATGACATGGTGTCCATATTATCCAGGTTCCACTGTATAATTTACCTGGCATACTGTTCATGGGTATCATTTTCTGTGCAAATTATTAAAGCATTGACGTCTTCTCTACTCAAAGCTTCATCCCAGTCTAGTGTAGGTAAATCATCTTCAACTTTTCGCCTGGGAAGTTTAAAATAAAAAATCTGCTCAAATACCATACTTTGTATTAAGCTTATTTCACCATTTTCACATAGACTATAATGCACCTCATTTATCTCCCTCCTCCCCACCAAAAAAAATTTCAAAAAATTGCATAACCATCCACATCCACATCCCCTCCATCTCTAAAAAATGCTATACATTGATTGCGACAGATCCTTTGGCATACACTGCCCTATATATGGAAGGCAGAATTCTCTCCCATTTGATTGATTGATTGTTTCACATCTTTTAAAGCACATCTTCTATCCATTATTATTCTACTTGTCAATGCAATCAAGCAAATTATGACAACAGCTGTCTCTATACAATATTTGTTCTTGGCTCTGGAATTCTTTAGATAGTTGTTCAGAAACATCCTTGCCCTCTAGGCTTTCAAAAAGGCACATTGTCTCTTCTCGGTTCTGGAGGTAAAACATTAAGGGTGTCCTCTGGCCCCTGGAGGTGGGGGTTTACTCCCTACAATGATGGCTCGGACACTCAACACAAAAGGGGTACCTTTTTCAGTCTCCAGGTAAGTAGTATAAATAGATAGTAATTTCACAAGCTCATCATTACGTAAATGAAAGAGTAGGGAAATCTGTCATGCCAGTACTTAAAAGAGCCTTTAACTAAACATGTCGTGGTTAACATCCCACTGATGATCTCTCCAGGAAACTCTGGAGTCCCAATCGATTCAAGGTCCAATATTTGATACAGGACGCAAAGTAACTATGAAAGCTTACCTTGAGATGACTCCGCGAAGAACGGCATTTTCTCCTAAAACTTTCTGCTTCAAGTCTCGTACTCTAGCCTTTCCTGCCCGCCCTAAGCCGACTACGACGATTCCTGAGGTTCTTGCGTCAGTTCCTGACATGTTCGACTGAAATTTATCGTTCGCGGGACGTGCGTTTACTTTTTGATATAACCTTTCGAGAAGATGTGGGCAGAAACTCAGCGGTGAACTATTAAAAAACTTTAAGGATCAGTTCGCACAGCTGAGCTCCGGAAATTCCGCATTCAGCGGAGCCTGCGTTTAATCTCGGTCAGTATAAAACATGGACTGCGGACTGCGGACTACGGACTGCGGACTGGGTATAAAATATGGACTACGTATAAAACGCGGATTAGAAAATACGGACTGGGTATAAAACACGGACAAGGTATAAGACGCAGACTGCAGACTACGGACTGGGTATAAAATACGGACTACTTTGGTAAAAACCGTGCAAATTAGTTCTAGGTAAGGAAAAATAAGATCACTGAAAAGATCGCTAAATAGCAAGACACGAGAGTTAAAGTTGTTCTCTGAATCATGAGCCGGGTCAAAATGCTATTTTCTTGACCCATTTTTAGACCTTGTTTTGGTCTCTAACAATCATGAAAGGGGTAAGGATGAGGGGTGGTACTCCCTTCTATATTAAATAGAAGGGTGGGGGGGTTGGGCCTTTTTGGTCTGAAAACGGCTTTGCCCATTTTGGTGTGGAATCGGGTATGGTTTTCGAGGGAACAACGGGAGCGTACATGAATGGACGTATTTATCGTTTCAATTCCATTTGGAGAATTTTTTTCTTTCCGCTCTAACTTGGTAATGATGACAAAATTTCTGCCTAATTAGACCTAACCTGTTCAAGGCTCTGAGATAGTTGGGTCCGCTGAATTGAGAAAGCGAAAACACGAAAATAAAACGGGAGAAAACTGGGGAGTCTCCCCAACTATCTGAGAACCTGGAACAGGCTAAATTAGGCCAGGTCCGAAAATGGGTATGGATTTTAGAGATCTAGTCTGAAAACGGGTGTGGAAAATGACAATTTTTTGGTCTGCAATAAGGTCAGGATTCGGAGAACCGGGCACTACACCCCCACCAAGAATTCCCAGTAGTACCCCCTTCTGGGGATCAGGAGCAGGGTGTAAATCATGTCATCATAATCATCGCTTAGAATATAACGTTGGATGACTCATTTCGGTTATTATTCACGTATGTGAGTAAGCCCTCGCACCTAAATACTGCTTTTGTGCATCGCATTGACCTTCTCGTCTGAGTTCTTCATTCAGTCCTCATATTCCCAAGGCTTTATTTGAAACGGAATTGTGGCATAAGATAAGAATTTTACTGATCTGACTAACACCAATACTATTTTTTTTTAATTCGGTGCTTCTTATTGGTGTAAAACTGCAAATTAAAATCTCTTCAAACTCCTTCTTTTTATAAAATTCAGAGTTTAATTTCAGTTGCCTTGAGTACCGGCATAACCTTCCTTCTCCGTGGGAAGAATAGTCTACGTGAACAGCGTTAAAGCTGGGACTACTGTTTTTGCTAGTCCGCTTTCTATTTCTCTCAGTTTTACCTTCTAAAGCTGTTTTTATATACATAGTCCGTAGTCCGCGTTTTATACCTAGTCCGTGTTTTGTACTCAGTCCGGAGTCCCTATTTTATACCTAGTCCATACTGTAAAATTCCGAAAATAAGCCCCTCCATGTATTTAAGCCCCTCCAAATATAAGCCCCCCAAACCGGTAACGCAAAAAACCCTCCGTTAAATCGCCCCTCCAAATATAAGCCCCCGGGGGCTTGTACTTGGAAAATTGCCCTCAAATACAAAGTAAAACAGAGAAAAAACGGCAAATTTACTTGAAACTATAAGGCTAGTCCAACCGATTTTGAAACGCAAATTTCCCTCCGTAGATAAGCCCCTCCGAATATAAGCCCCTCCAAAAGTAAGCCCCTCAAAAAGGGCCTTTGAAAAATATAAGCCCCGGGGCTTATTTTCGGAATTTTACGGTATTTTATACCCAGTCCGCAGTCCGTGGTCCGCAGTCTATGTTTTCTACTGACCGCGTTTAATATAAGCTGACCGTAGGCATAAACTGGTTCTGCTTGCAGAGTTTAATATGTCTAATAAACGTGACAACCTTGCCGACAACATTAAAAACGGCTGTGCAGCAGATAACCGACGAGTGCGGTCGAATTGACGGATCATACTTGTATAGAAACGAGAACTGTGCAAAATTTGAAAATGTAGCGTTCTTTATTTTGCGCAAGTCATGCAACGATCCTCTCCTGTTGCGTGACCAATCACCTGCACAGCAGGAGGTCGAGAATTAAGTAACCTGCGATCAGGCGGTTCTTTCTTGTCCCTCTTTCCTTGAGAGTCTTGAAAGGCCACTTTTCCGCTGTTGTGAAAAAAAGGGAACGCTGCTATGGGGCTAGTCGTTTCTTGCGTGAAGTTCTCAAAGATCAAGTGCTTTGAACATTGGAGGACTGGTCACCAACAGCATCCTGGGGGGGATCCCTTGAATTTACAACTATGAGGATGTGTTGCTGAGTCTTTGAGACTCTGGACCTGTTCCAGACAAAAAGAGATGAATTTGGAATCCTGCACAAGATATTCTACTACAGGAATCCTGTTCCTGTGGCCAGCTAAGTGGAAAACAATGAGGGGAGCACATGCCTATGCTAGACCTGGATAGAGAATAATGGGGGATTATGGGTGGGGGAAAAGACCCTGTTTTGGTATTGTTACTTCCTCTGGACAGAGAAAATGGGTAATTTTTACACCCTGTTCAGAGAGGCACATACCAGTATAGTCTATGATATTGGAGTACTGCCTTTCCCTCCCCCCCCCCTCATACCCCCACTGGCCAAAGCCTATGTTAGCTTGTTTCTGTTCCAAAAAAAAGGATATCAATAAATAAATATATAAATAAATAAATAAGGGAATGAATCTAACCATGGGTGACACCCACACAGAAGGATAGTACCACTTATACAAGCAAAGTCCAGTGGTTCTGGTTTGAAAAAATCAACGGAAAATTTACACGTAAAAAATATCTAAATGATAAACATTGGAAACCACATCTGGTTTTTCAGTTTATTTTCAGACCTACTACAGTCTCATTTTTCTTCAACATTTTATGACAAAGCACTACAGTATTTTAATGCACTCTGACGACATTCAACATCACACCACTATCAGCACTACCTCACAGTAAGAATTTTCAGTCCCACAGAATCTAATTTACACCACAGGACTTCATAAACAGTGAGAATAGTACCAAATAACAACTTGATACCCGTTATGGTTACCTACCTTTACAAGATCAGAGTGCATATTGAAAACTAAAGTTAATAAATAACATTGCACAAAATAACATCTCCATGTCACATAACAAGCAACTTGCTCTAAACTGGACTCTCCTAGGACCAGAGCTTGATAAAAAAATAACACTTGCCTGCAGAGAGTGAACTGCATATGAATGAATGAAAATGAATAAATACAGGAAGAGAGGAAACCATTTTGATTTAAAGACTGACTTCAAGATCCTATTTCACTAGGGAGTATTTTTCTTGCAATGTTGTAGCACCATTGTGAGACATGTCACACAAGAGTAGGGTGTGATGGAAATTAATTAAATAATTGCCTTCCCTTGCTGAAGATTACTAGCCTGGAGCAGTTATACGGGCCTAACAAACCCCTTTCTCTTACCAAATGAATTTGCTTGCTCATCAGACAACTTACAATGAAAATAATGATGCAAGGCCAATAGATTAATCCAGTAGCCCCGAGGTATTGAACAGCACTTCTCTCGCACCCAGCTGTTACTAGCTTTACCTTACCCTGCAATTTTCTTGCAAACTAAAACGAACAATAATTTATTTGCTATTTCTTAAGATTGCTGCAGTGTTGCCAGACACATTCATTCCAGCGAGTGTCACACTAAGCAATGTTTCATGCAACAGAACTTGCTTAAACACTGCACGAAAAACTACCTAGTATATTGGGAGCTTCATATATATTATAATATTATTATTAGCATTGAGCCATTCTCCTTCAAGTAAGTTTTGATATTTAATGAGCCTGTAACTTCTCTTCATCAGTCAAACACTAATTTTAGCCCCAATTTTTCAAACCTCCTGATACTGTAACTGGAACCAGTTTGCTTTTCCCATGGTGGTTCGAAAAAATGGGATTCCACTTTAGAGAAAAACTAGAGGTATTTTCAGGTTGCAGAACCTGAGAGAACAAGTTTGACACCATTTAGAATCGCTTGCTGCTTATGATCTTGCGCACCATATCAGCTTGTGCATCAGTGATTTTTAGATCATCTACTTCAGCTTCAAAATCTTTCAGGGACCCATAGCCTCCCATGTAGCCATTTAATCTTGCTACCACAGATGAATTTATTAGCTCCACACTGTTTAACCCAAGGCTCCTAAGCAGTGAGGGTTTCTGACGCAGCAGGTACTTTTGGTGATAACTGAGAAAGGAAAAGAAAAATATTTCAACAATAATTAATATTATTATCTCTTTGTGCTTGTGTTGCTCACTAGTGTTCATTTAAAAAAAAAAAAAAAATTAAAGAAGCGTTAAGAATGACAAACATATAAATTTCCTCCCTAGACAAGTAAATAGTGGATGGAGAGAAATATGACCCTTTCATTCAAAAAATCTTTTTCAACCCTCTTCTCTGATGAGCACCTTTTTGGTGTGCATGTGTGTTTGCATGTTTTTTTTTTTATAATGAAGTGGGGGGGGGGGGATTTCCAGTCTTCACCCTCATCCCTGGGATCCCCACTGCTTTTCTAGAGACACATTTCGGGAGAAGTCACTTTTTCAACGTGGCAGTTCAGTTAGTGACAAGCTAATGTAAATGAAATTTTATTTCGCATACTCTTCTGCATCATAGAATCTTTTTGCAGGAAGAATCTTGGTTACAATGGGCCTTCTTAGAGTCTTCTGATGCTCATTACGTGTCTGTTCTGCAAGCTTCTTCTGTTCTTCATCATGGTAAAATATTGCTGACATGTACTGTGCTTTGTGCAGAGCTGTAGGATCATGATCTTTCCAAAACCGTGTCAACAGATCACTGTATGTTGTGCGGTTTGGATCATACTCCAGTTGTACAGTCTCTGTGTGATCCCCGCTGTAGGATAAAAGAACAACACAAACAATGTTATTCCCTTGATTTCTGGGATAATTAAACTATAATGTTGCATCTACTCCACTGTTACAGTTTGTGTTAACTTGAACTAAAGACAATGTAATTTCAAGGCCAAAAGAGTAATAAGTGGTTACATTTGTGGTCCCAACATCAATAGATTTCTTCCAAAAACCCATGTCCAAGATGTTGGTTGTAAAAAATGCTTTATTCTGTATGTCAAGAGAAATTAATCAGGGATATAAACTGAGGTTTCTTGAAGCAAAATAAACAATTTTTGTCTTTAAGCAAGTCAGGGTTTCAAGGCCTTGGATTTGGTGACACATCTCAACCCAACTTCCCTTGTGTCCCCCCCCCTCCCCCCCTTCCTTCCGGGGAGAATGTTTAAGACTAAGTGTGACTCAGCAATTGCATAATGACTCTACCCTACAACCTCCAACAATATTCAAACAAAGCCTGACTCAGCAAATTATAAGGTTTATAGAGACGAAGTTTATCCTCCATTTTACAAAATACTATAAAGGGTCAGAAAAATTGTTCATTTCAACAGGGTTTTCACAATGATCGAACGAAAAAACTGAAAATACAAGGCTTGGAAAGCAAAAAATAAGCTCGCGATCTCCAATGTCTACAAAAATTCACTCCTACAGATGGTTTTGTGGCCAGCATCGAAAGATAAAGTTTTTCACAACAAGCCAAACTTGGCTCTTACTTAATCTTCAAAGATCGCATGTATTTTGCCGTCGAACTCAGCACTTACACTGAGAGAACATACTTGTACAAATGACATTACGATTTTAAGCTTATGTAATTACTAGTTTACAAGCAAGATCGAAGTACAACGTGAAATTTCTCATTTTACATATAACCTCAAACACAAAGTAAAACTAAAAACGAAAACGGGAAAATTTTTCTGTTAAGCCCCCGACCCTTTCCCTAAACTTACAGGCTGGTGTAGGTCGGAAACGGCTTTGATCCGCCTGTGTATCCGACCTTAGTTCGGACGACGCCATGAGCACATCCGAACTGGGCCTCAGGGAACCAAAATCAGCTCATAGCAAAGGTTGCTGTCTTTGTTTTACCGTCACCCATGTCTTCTAAAGGAGGCTTAACTACCTCAACGGAGCTTTCAAGTGTATTTCCCGTCTTGGAGAATAAACCTGGCCGAATAGTTCGCAGAATTGATGCTATGAAAAACGCTCGGGATCTAGTCAACATTGTTATGCAAGATCTAACTTGGTCCAGTCTCCCTCTTCGTAGTGAGGGGTGCTTACCAATTGCGGTGTCGAAGCATAATGGTAAGCAATTTGCATAGGTAATAGCACAATTTGTAGTGATATTTGGCATAAATACCACGAGTGGTATTTCGAAATTGTTCTACGTAATTGGTAATATCACGTACAAATCATGCTATTAATTGTTTATACTACTACCACGCAAAGGTTTTGTAATTTTCACATGTAGGTATTTCAAATTAAGCTGAAAAACCACTGCTCTAAGCCAATCAAATTGCAGAAATTTCTCATGTAGTAGTATAAACCAGTTTACCGTAGAAATACCACATTCGTTACGCTTTGGATCCAAAAAAAGGGCGCATTTGTGTAGCGTGAGTCTGGAACCGAGAAGGAACCGGGAAATTGGTTAATGGTAAGCAACATTCCGTTTGGTTCGTACCCGGTTCGTACCAACCGGAATGAAAGGACTACCTCAAAACGTACTCCTCAATTTTCGGTTGGAATTTCCGAAAAGTGGACTTACCGGGCGCTTTCCATTTAGTCAAAATTTCCGGAATTTCCGTTTCGGCGGTAAATGGAACACGTTTCGTCGGTTCGTGCCACTGGAAAATTCCCAGAAAAAGTGGAAAATCTAAAAAGGTGGTCCCGTTTTCCCGGTTGGAATTTCCGAACGGAATGTCGTGTTCCATTTACGTTTCTCGTAGTTTGTACCAGTTCCAGGTCCACGGTCGGGCACCGCGCCACGAACCGGGGTTTACGACCAAATGGAACAACTTTTTACCAATCGGAAATTCCACTTTTGCTACCACCGAAATTTCCGGCTTTTTTTCGTAAATGGAAAGCGCCCACCATTTACCTTCCATCCGGAATTTCCAAAATTTTCTGTCAAATGGTAAACGCCCCTCCCAAGTCCCATGCATGGAGGTCCAATGCAAGTGAACTTGCGCAGAGGAACCTTGTGTGACAAGCGTGACATTAATTTTGTTTAAGAAAAGGATGCAGTTTTTAATTTATTCCTCACTTAGTCTGCGCAGAATAGGGTATTCTGCAGTTAAGCCCAAAAAATATCTATCAATGTGAAGTGAATTACCGACAAAACACGCAAGTAACAGCCCCGTCATCACGTTTGTCACACTCACGCGTTTTGCCGTCCTGTTGCGTAAACTCTCTAAAAGTGAACTTACGCAATAGGACGGGACAGCAAACAAGATTACCTCTTAGGGGTTCGTCACTCGTAGGAACGCGTGACGAACCCCTAAGAACGTCTGCGTGGGAGGCTACAAAGAAGACGGTAAAACTTATGTGACAATCGTGAAAATTATTTTGTTTGACAAAAAAATCGCCTCAAACTTGATCTTCCTTTAAACAGATCTTTTTGTAAAAGATCAAAAAACATTGACATTTAGTGAAGATTACATCATGCAAGTAATAGCCACGTCACGTTTGTCACACACAAGCGTTTTGCCGTCCTCCTCTTGAAAAGAAAGAAGACGGCAAACCTTGTGTGACAAGCGTGACAATAATTTCTTTTGAAATAACTTTACGCCAAAACTTAACTTTCCTTTAAACAGATATTTTTGCAAAGACTAGAAAACATTAATGTTAAGTGAGGATCACGACATAACACGCAAGTAATAGCCCTGTCACGTTTGTCACATACACGCGTTTTGCCGTCCTCTTCTTTCAGCCGTCCTGTTGCGTAAACTCACAAATGAACTTATGCAACGGGACGGGAGAGGCAGGCGGCGTTGGACACGGTCCACGTGACCAATTTTGTCCAATCACGCTACTGCAGATGGCGGACTGCTTTTTTTTTACTTTTGTGCGTCGTCCCTTCGATTTTCTCCGATTTTTGCCGTTTGTCGAGTGATTTACGATTATATTTTTTGGAAACGTTTGAGTAGACAGCTGTAGCAAGCCGCAGTTCTTAAAACAATCCAAGGAATGTTTGTTTTCTATTGATATTGTTCTTTGTAATTCTTGATGCGCATAATCCCTTTGTTGAGCTATTTTGAAAAAATAGCTCATATGTCAGTGGTGTGAGCGTATGTATCTTTGTGGCTTTGTATCTTTGTAACTTTGTATGTTCGGATGTTTGTTGCAAGAGCCAATAAGGTTGAAGGTACTATGAGTTGATGCTAAGGAACCAATGAGATCTTGGCATCTACTTAAAAATCACATTGCTAAAGGTCGAACAAGGGCACTTTGAGACCGCCATCTTGATTCTTTACAATTTGTTCGTCTTTTTATTACGGCTACAGGTGTTTGGAAACATTATGTTAAATATCTTCATGATTCAAACGCTGTGTACAGTGATGCAGCTGTTTAAGGGTTCATATTTTAGTGTGGATGTTACTTCACGACATTTCTGACCGAATTCGGCTATCGCGAACGGTACCACGCACGTATTTATGGGTTGTGTTTCACCTGCTTCAAGGTAGAGTATAAACGATCATATATTTTCAAAGCTCTTCCAGTGAAGCAATAACTGATATTTAGATATGGACTTTAATTCGAAAGTATGCGGCCTATAAAATGTGGTTTTAGAAGTTTGAAAAGCAGCTTATTTTTTAAAAGCTGTACCGAGTATTGTTAATCCTGTAAACAAGCTGTAGAAATATTATTCTCTCGCTTACAAAGTTCAACAGACCTTTTTCGTTCCGGCAAAACAACAACAATAAGGAATAATAAGTGAACAACATGATACATCCTTCCTGCATACTAAGCATTATAGTTATTGAAACGTATTTTATTTAGTAAAGATACGTATAAACTTAAGTAGAAACAGTAGCGTTAGGGAATAAAATTGGAAGAAGCTAGTTGACACAATAATTAGGTACTGCTTTATTGAGTGGAGTAACATGATATGAGCAGAAATATATTTCGGCAGTTTGATAATTTTCTTTTCCAAATGTTAGGCTATCAACCTTGACGTTGCATAATTTAATTGCAGATGTTGTAATAAGGCCGAGGTGATTTCTTTAAATCGCTTGAGAAAATTTTGTAGTAAACAATTTGCGTTTTTTTAAGTACGAATTGTAAAAGGGCCAAAGACCAACATCTTCACATGCAAATCGTGTGCATGAGTTATTTTTATAATTCTGTTTACTCGATTACTGTGTGATAACTCGAATTCCCTCACGTACGAACCACGGAAGGGGGCAAAGTCCAACACTTTCACGTGCCATCTGTGTGACTGTACATCTCATGCAGATTGGCTTTTCACAATAGTAATAGCGACTTGAACGTATAAAGACCTGTTTCGTTTAGTAACCAATGCCCTAAAAAAGGCTCTTGTCTTTTAAGACGCAATAGCTTTTAAAACATGAAGAAATAAGTTGTCGGAGTTAAAGACTGTCTCACAAATAATAATAAATGTTAGGTTATCAACCTTGACGTTGCATGAAACATAATTTAATTGCAGATGTTGTAATGAAGCCGAGGCGATTCCTTAAAATCGCTTGAGAAAATTTTGTAGTAAACAATTTGCCTTTTTTTAACGTACGAATTGTAAAAGGGCCAAAGACCAACATCTTCACGTGCAAATCGTGTGCATGAGTTATTTTTATAATTCTGTTTACTCGATTACTGTGTGATAACTCGAATTCCCTCACGTACGAACCACGAAAGGGGACAAAGTCCAACACTTTCACGCGCCAGCTGTGTGACTGTACATCTCATGCAGATTGGCTTTTCACAATGATAAATAGTAACTTGGACGTATGAAGACCTGTTTCGTTTTGTAACCAATGCCTTAAAAAAGGCTCTTGCCTTTTAAGAAGCAATAGCTTTTAAAACATGAAGAAATAAGTTGTCGGAGTTAAAGACTGTTTCACTGAGTAGAATCGCACGTGAAAACCTCGTGAATTATGATGACGCAACCATCTACCTCAATGATAAAAATCCTGGTATTTTGTAACTATTCAGTATTCGATGAGTCACATTTTGGCTTAAGAAACTCCGAGAAAACCTTAGAGTTTTCCTTCTAATCAACGTTTGGTGAGTAGAAATTTATTTTACTTTAGCAATTTGTTTAACTTGCACCAGATGTAACTGGGAAAGACAGAGGAAAGTGAATACATAGGTTGAGGATCGACTCAGCTGAGCGTTTCGCGTTTTCATTTATGTAGCGCAATACCCAATTTCGTACAAAAACCAAATCTACATTTAGGATGAAAACGGTAGATTCATCACTCTTGGTAAGGTTACACCGAAGTATTATAGTTACACTGAAGCATTCAAAATAGCTCATGCACGTTGAACGTGCCTATGTTTTAGTTAAGAGCTATTGTTTCTGCTTTTCAGCCTATATCTTCTCTGTGTTCAACGACCCCTGACCTCCATTTTTTAGCATAATCTATTAGTATTGTTGTTCAAGTATCTGAAATGGTCCGCGGGCCCCAGCGGGCCCCGCCGTTTTAAGGGTCAAAATGCCACTTGAAGTTTACCTATGTGCGGGAATCGTGACTCCCATTTCGCGGCATCTTTAGTGTTATGAAGTTACTCGCGCGGTCACGATCGATCGTTCGTCGATCTTTCGTAGCTGCGTAGAATTCTTTTTCTCATTCCCCTTTTTATTCGTCTTTAAAAATATGATATTTTTTGTAGTATATATGTCATCGAAGCGGCCGTTAGGCCCTCCTTCGGGAATACTCCTGATAAGCCTCCTCAGAAGTCCAGGAGAAGTCAACGTGGAGAAACCACATCGAGGAAGTCTTTGTTATTCAACCAAGATGTCACGACGAAAACGGTATTTACAGTCTTCTTTGAAAACCTTAGTACTTAACAGGGTATTTTCAAACCCTGGGGCACCTTATGTATCGCAATTATTATTTACTCGGATAAGTTGATAGAAATTCTGTAATTCATTGCAGGACACCTCAGTTTCAGCATCCATTCCTTGGGATGACAAAGAATTAGCTGGGCTGATTCAATATATTGCTTTGTATCATGACCCTGATGGAGCATCTGTTTGGCCCACCCACAAGAATTGGGATTTTTGGGACAGCTGTAGTGCTGCAGTTGCACAATACTCTGGTTTACCCACTAGAACTAGTGAGTTTTTTTTCACGTTTTAAGAGTCTCACAATATTTCCTCTGGATGTTTGTTTACATTATTTAATACGGAGTATATTCTATTTACTCCACCCTAGCCAAACGTGGATACAGTTTTGATATTTCATTTTACCATTTGCAATAATGGAAATTTTTTGTTACCTTTTTAGGCATGGCTTGTCGCCGCAAAGTGCAACGACATCTTGTGAACCAGTTTAGAACACTGGAGGAAGCAGAGGACTTCTACAAGATAGATTACTTTGAAGGGCAACAAAAAGAGAGTAGTGCAGCAGCTGGAAAAGCAACTTCTACACCCATTAAATCCCCCCTGCGCAATCTGTCAGGAAATCTATCACCCATATTTCACCAGTCTCCTCTCAAGAATGTTAACCCAGAGATTACTACTGGTGATTTGATTAAACTTATGATGAATGGTTTTCTAAAAACGACCAGATCGCAGAGGGAACAATTCCTCTCCTACCTCTTTTGCATTCATCTTTCCCATGATGTTGGCATCAATGATGGTTATGTACCTGCAAACTTTCTGCAATTGGCTGGAAGCTCCTTTAAAAACCTACAAGTCACTGGAAAGGAAAATACTCTCTACTTTCTTGCAAGGAGTGTTGGTGAATCAAGACCTGGTGGAAGTGGGCCAAGGATGTCACTTGACCGTATGCCTTTTGGTCTCATCCACCACAACCTCCAATTCTTTGCCAAAGATAATGTTTCAAACCTCCACCCATGTGAGCACTATGCTGAATGGTTGACGACAATGTTTGCTCACTTTGGTCACAAATGGGACAAACTCTACCGAGGGCCAATGTGGAGTTATGATGGAGATTCCTCAGATGAGGAAGGAGACGTCCCACCTTTCCTTGAGCCGCAGATTTCTCAAAGTTTACATAATGTTATCACCCAGGAATCAGAGGAGCCTACATCAACCAGTTTCAACAGACCATTTGACGAGATGGGTGATTTATTGTCCCAGGCAGTCTGGGAAACTGAAGGTCTGGAAGAACTAATGTGTAATACTGGCACTCAAGACATAGAACCATCCTCAGAAATATCTACTCTTTGGAATGGGTTGAGTGTTAGTGACATGGCAGAGCTTGAACAAGCTTCTGACTCACCACTCCAGATAGAGCAACTCCACAATGCTAGACCTTCAAGAACCAGGAACAGGGGTTCATTAAGGGCCGGGCACCGGGCAAATTGACCGGCTGTGAACACAACTTTGCCCGGCTGCGTTACATCTTAAAGAACTTCTTTTTAATACAAGGAACGATCAAAAACAGTTTTAAGTTACAATCGTGAGTCTTATCGAGTGTAAAACATACTTTGCCGTGCAATTTCCACTTTTTTACACGCGGCATGAAATCCCCTCGTTCGTTATGTGTTAAAAAGAAGAATCGCCCGATAACACATTGTGAAAAGAACTGTGCTTCATAAGCGACCACCTGAAATGTATCAGTGTTGCGAGCACGTGAGCATGGCGGCCCAGAAAAGAACGTGTTCGATAGCAGATTATATTTCGGCTTCAACCAAAGGGCCTCCAGTAGAGAAAAGGCTAAGAGGTGAGTAGACTTCTTTGTGATTTAACTTTTACTTGCCTGTATATATTGAATGGCTCAATTATCATGTTCAACGAAGCGAAGCGTCATTTGTTTTCGTTTTATGGTTTACGACAATGAATTAATTTTCGGTGCGTTCACGTTGAAACAGTGCTCCTCCCGTCTAGTCATTGAAATTTTAAAGATAAGTTGTTAAACTAATACTTTTGTGATTCAAATCATGATTAAATTGTCTAGAAAAGTTATCTTTTTTTTGGTTGTTGAAAGTCATTGTCTGCAGCTTCAAAATGCAGGAAAACACATCCCTGCGACTATAGAATTTCAAAATTTTCCGGGGAGCATGCCCCCAGACCCCCCTTGGGGAGCAAGGCCCTCCGGGCCTTGCCAATTCTTTTGCCCGGGTGTCAAACTCAGTTGCCCTCCGGTTCAAAACCTTAATGAACCCCTGCAGGAAGCACAAGCATGCAAAGCGTGATCCACTGAAGGTGATATCATATGGTTATGTGGGCTGATTATGATCAATGTCAATAGTGTGGTGTCATATTGAGGCCTTTGTAAAGGGCTGTTGGTTGTATGTTATTTTATTTCTGCCTGATTGTTATTATTAAAAGCATGTATGTAAAAGGTGTTCTAGAAAGTATTATGCATGGTATGTGAGAAAGCTTCTTCCATAAGTACAAAATGATATAATTGCCCCTTAACATGCCCACTTTGTTTGCAGGCCAAGGTTAATGTTGTTGGTCTCTCATCAAGACAGCTTCAGAGGAGAATCCAACAAAAAGGCTTCACCAGGGACACAAGCATCCAGGTAAGCTCAGTTTTGTATTAATGACATTGCACTTTATCAAAGTTGCCATTTTTGGCAATGTTGCAGACTTTAAAGCAATATATACAGATGTTAAGGACTACATATGAGACATTAATATGACAGTGTGCTTTAGGAAGAACTGTAATGTTATGCACCGGTCTAATTATTGACCATAATTATTATTAACCCATTCGCCCCTGAACCGCCCGTAACCGCCCGTGCGGATCCAGGTCCTTTCTACCCTTTGTGACGTCATCAGTTTTAACGGTCAAGGACAACTTTCTTCGCTAACTTGTGCAGAGTGAAGAGATCTTTCAAACCATACCAGAATGAGCACAATTCAGTCAAGGACACCGGAGAAAGAAGCAAAAAACCACGTGACAAGGACCTGAAAATCTCCATGAAAATCTTGTTCCATTACCCACCTACCTTTCCTTTCACCTAATCCTAAGATCCTAAAAGCTTTCCTAAAAACTCTTCCCACCAAAATGAAGCCTACTAAATGCCCAGCAAGAAAAAAAAAAAAAAAAATGAGGCAAGAAAAGCGAAAAAAGAAGGGAGGAGAGAAAGCGAAAAGTAAAAGTCAAGACTGCTGTGTCACTTTTCAACCCAAAAACTGTCAAAATTTTGCTTTCTGCGCATGCCCGAACTTCGCAAGCTGATATTTTGCATCTGGATCAGAAGGCCGCCAAGTGTACAACCTGTAAACCGGTTTGTGGTAAGTTTTAGCTCTTTATAGCACGACAGTGACCAGAAAACCACTTGACTAGCTTCAAAACGCGTTTTTCGGCAAAATCTCTAGGAGCGAATGGGTTAATCAGTCAGTACGTCTGACAGTGTATTGCATACCATGTTGTCATGACTTTGGATCTGGATGTCATCTAGACCTCAGAGTACATTTCATCATAATTCTTCCTACACTTAATGATGTGTATACATATTTAGTTTCAAATAGAGACATTACATTTCTTTTCTTGGAATGATTTGTTGTCATCTGTAATTAACTGTAGATAGAGGCACTGAAGACTGCAAAACAGAGGAATCCTAATGGGCGTTGGTGGATTAAAGCTGATGCCTGTGATATAAGGTCCGGTATTATGGAATCCTTGCGCCGTGAGTGGTCTGGGGATGTAGACTTGGGAGACGGACAACTGGAGCAACTGCACCAAACATACATGCAGTTGATAAGTTTTATTAAAGGGATTGGTTTAGAAAAAAGAAAGCCCTTGCAAGTTGTTATCCAGGACTTGAGGGAAGAGTTGAAAACACTAACAAATGATTCTGAGTTTTTGCAATCAGGTCTCAGGAAATCGAAGGAAATTTATGAAAAAAAAAGGAAGCAAAGCAATACCCCAGAGAGCAGCATGTTTGCTCTAGCTTGGGATGTCAATGCTTATGAAACCCTGAAATCGTTGAACCATGATTTGCAAAACAGATGCAGCAGCATAATTTCCAAGTGTTTAGGGCCTGCTAATCAGAGAGGAAATCTTCCCCAAACTTAAGCACAATTAAGGAAAGGTCTGTCACAGTACACCAAAGATGTGTTCTCTAAAAAAAGGGAAGCGGCCACGCATCTGATGATCTTCATGGTGGCTGATGAACGCAGGGACATGAAGCCCTATGGCATTCCAGTGAGAGCCCTGCCATTCTAGAGCATAACAGATGCAAAAGTTAGGCAACTTCGTGATGAACTTAAGTTGGAAATGGAAAACTTGGGGATGGTAGTTGTGGGTATGTTTTCTTTGCCACTTTATATATATATATATATATATATATATGTTGCATAAAAAAACGGTCCTTGTAAAAATGCGTCATTTTTATGTAAAAAGCTGCTTTTTACAAATTGAGCGGTTGTAAAAATACTGCTTTTTACAAAAATATATTTTTGTAAAAAGCAGCTTTTTTACGTAAAAAAGCTGCTTTTTTACAAGTTACCTGGTTGTAAAAATACTGCTTTTTTACAAAAATATATTTTTGTAAAAAAGCAGCTTTATTATGTAAAAAAGCTGCTTTTTTACAAATTAGCCGCTTGTAAAAATACTGCTTTTTTATGTAAAAAAGCTGCTTTTTTACAAAAATATATTTTTGTAAAACAGCAGCTTTTTTACAAATTAACCGGTTGTAAAAATACTGCTTTTTTACAAAATATATTTTTGTAAAAAAGCAGCTTTTTTACGTAAAAAAGCTGCTTTTTTATGTAAAAAATCTGTTTTGTTACAAAAGATATTTTTGTAAGAAAGCTGCCTTTTTATGTAAAAATCCTGCTATTTTACACGTATAGACCATTTGACAAACTCATTTATCGAAGACAGGCTGTTTTCTATAGCATGGTTCGAAATTTATTGAACTGTAGTTTTCGTGCGGCTAGTCACGTTCACGTTCCCGTGTCCCCTTTATTGTGGGGCGTTTAAATTCCCTTGTTAACTCGCTGACAGCGTTAAAAATTTACGTTCTTTTTATTCTTTTTATTCTTTCTTCTTGTTTCCTTTGTCATTCAATTTTCCAGGACCTTCTAATTGTTGGATGCGAAGAAGGAACAGGCAGTAATTTCATTTGTTATCCTTATCGGCTGAGGTCACGCACGGCAGTAACTGCATGTTAGGCAATAATAGAATAGCTGGGTTATTCACTGTCTTATTTATAAGCAATGCCTGTCACAATCTCTTGCAGCAACCAAAGACTTCTATTCTCTCCTTCATTGCTACTCTTGTTCAAGCCGAAAACTGTACAGAATATTGTTCTGTATTATTTATCTATTTTCCCAAGGTTATCAGCTGCAATGATCAGTTTAACTGTCAACAAAATACTTGGCTATAATGCTTTGGTGCTCTTAGCAGTGGATAACTAAATTATAACTCCATTTCTAGCATAAAATCTCCAGCAAGAATCAACGACAGCAATTGTTAGGCAATTTCCTGTATTATGTATGATGCGCTAAACTTCTATCACGGGATTCATGCTATGTTGAAATCCATGCTGATGCATGCAAGATTGTCATGTCTGCGTTACAACTTTAAGCTTTCAACATGATGTAGGAACATGTTCAGTCGGCTAATCAAGCAAAAGGAAACGCTAGCCTATAGCTACAAGCGTACATACACTCGCTTGTTAGTCTAATTTTGCAATACAGAGAGCAACTTGTAAGGCCATAAAAACAGCAGACCACAGCAGCCGATTTGTTTATAAGAATTTGGGACTATAAAGGCGGTCTGTAACGTACGACAATGCGTGTTTTATTTTAGAGATCGAGAAATCAGCCAGAAAACACTTGTAAAGGCTAAACAAGTTTAATATGAACACTAGCTGAAATCGCCAGCAACATTTAGAGTATGACCGTTTTTTTACAAAATATATTTTTGTAAAAAAGCTGTCCTTTTACAAATATATATCAGTGTAAAAAAACAGCTTTCTTACGGTACCGTTTTTTTACACAACATATATATATATATATGTATATATATACCAGTCTCATATATATATATATACATTTACATATATTTTTTAATTCCATTTTAAGCTACAGCTAGCATGATCTTGCCCACAAATCATCTCAAGTAGCCCCAAAACCCTTTTTGATTGGCAGGATTGATTACAATCCTTCTGTAATTTGAATTTTCCCAGAAAACAGCACTTGTCCGTCTGGCAAGTTAAAAACAAACATCACTATCCTGATAGCAATATCCACTAGCCCCAGGCTATCGGACATGACTTTCTTTGCACGCTGATTATATATATTTTATGTATTAGGTTTTGTAACTGACGGAGAGTTTAACTCATTAAGGACCAAGGGCTCCCAGAGACCAGTCTCAGTAATTCAGCTGATGGCAGATGCAAAGTCTAAGGCCAAATCCATTCCGGCTAGTCGAATAGCAAGATATCTTACACCCAAGTGAAGAACAAAGGTAAAGTTAATGGTTTCTGTACACTTTATGCTCTCTGATGGGCTGTTTGCAAGTCAACAGTGTCATGGTAAAAGAACAATAATTATTTTGGCTGAATATTCTCAAACATCACAGACATGGCTATAAATTATTTAAGGAAAACAAATTATCGACTTCCATGCATTTAAGAGCCATTATCTGAGAAAATCGAGAATCGCACGACACTCGTCAAAAAATCGAATTTTTTTTTATTTTGCCAAAACATCCCTTTTAGTGACCTTATTTAAGGAAAAATAGTTTTGGGTTCAAACGATTCATTTTAAAGGAGAAATTAGGAAAAGTTTGAAAAATCGATTTTATGCTCGTTTTTCGCACAAAACACGGCAGGATGCAATGGCAACTTCGAGAGAAGGGTGAACGCGTAAGAAACATTCCCTGACATTGAAACTTCACCGAATTATTATTTTGTTCTTACTCTTTAAAATCCTAAATCTCACAGCATCCATTCCTTGGGATGACAAAGAATTAGCTGGGCTGATTCAATATATTGCTTTGTATCATGACCCTGATGGAGCATCTGTTTGGCCCACCCACAAGAATTGGGATTTTTGGGACAGCTGTAGTGCTGCAGTTGCACAATACTCTGGTTTACCCACTAGAACTAGTGAGTTTTTTTTCACGTTTTAAGAGTCTCACAATATTTCCTCTGGATGTTTGTTTACATTATTTAATACGGAGTATATTCTATTTACTCCACCCTAGCCAAACGTGGATACAGTTTTGATATTTCATTTTACCATTTGCAATAATGGAAATTTTTTGTTACCTTTTTAGGCATGGCTTGTCGCCGCAAAGTGCAACGACATCTTGTGAACCAGTTTAGAACACTGGAGGAAGCAGAGGACTTCTACAAGATGGATTACTTTGAAGGGCAACAAAAAGAGAGTAGTGCAGCAGCTGGAAAAGCAACTTCTACACCCATTAAATCCCCCCTGCGCAATCTGTCAGGAAATCTATCACCCATATTTCACCAGTCTCCTCTCAAGAATGTTAACCCAGAGATTACTACTGGTGATTTGATTAAACTTATGATGAATGGTTTTCTAAAAACGACCAGATCGCAGAGGGAACAATTCCTCTCCTACCTCTTTTGCATTCATCTTTCCCATGATGTTGGCATCAATGATGGTTATGTACCTGCAAACTTTCTGCAATTGGCTGGAAGCTCCTTTAAAAACCTACAAGTCACTGGAAAGGAAAATACTCTCTACTTTCTTGCAAGGAGTGTTGGTGAATCAAGACCTGGTGGAAGTGGGCCAAGGATGTCACTTGACCGTATGCCTTTTGGTCTCATCCACCACAACCTCCAATTCTTTGCCAAAGATAATGTTTCAAACCTCCACCCATGTGAGCACTATGCTGAATGGTTGACGACAATGTTTGCTCACTTTGGTCACAAATGGGACAAACTCTACCGAGGGCCAATGTGGAGTTATGATGGAGATTCCTCAGATGAGGAAGGAGATGTCCCACCTGTCCTTGAGCCGCAGATTTCTCAAAGTTTACATAATGTTATCACCCAGGAATCAGAAGAGCCTACATCAACCAGTTTCAACAGACCATTTGACGAGATGGGTGATTTATTGTCCCAGGCAGTCCGGGAAACTGAAGGTCTGGAAGAACTAATGTGTAATACTGGCACTCAAGACATAGAACCATCCCCAGAAATATCTACTCTTTGGAGTGGGTTGAGTGTTAGTGACATGGCAGAGCTTGAACAAGCTTCTGACTCACCACTCCAGATAGAGCAACTCCACAATGCTAGACCTTCAAGAACCAGGAACAGGGGGTTCATTAAGGGCCGGGCACCGGGCAAATTGACCGGCTGTGAACACAACTTTGCCCGGCTGCGTTACATCTTAAAGAACTTCTTTTTAATACAAGGAACGATCAAAAACAGTTTTAAGTTACAATCGTGAGTCTTATCGAGTGTAAAACATACTTTGCCGTGCAATTTCCACTTTTTTACACGCGGCATGAAATCCCCTCGTTCGTTATGTGTTAAAAAGAAGAATCGCCCGATAACACATTGTGAAAAGAACTGTGCTTCATAAGCGACCACCTGAAATGTATCAGTGTTGCGAGCACGTGAGCATGGCGGCCCAGAAAAGAACGTGTTCGATAGCAGATTATATTTCGGCTTCAACCAAAGGGCCTCCAGTAGAGAAAAGGCTAAGAGGTGAGTAGACTTCTTTGTGATTTAACCTTTTACTTGCCTGTATATATTGAATGGCTCAATTATCATGTTCAACGAAGCGAAGCGTCATTTGTTTTCGTTTTATGGTTTACGACAATGAATTAATTTTCGGTGCGTTCACGTTAAAACAGTGCTCCTCCCGTCTAGTCATTGAAATTTTAAAGATAAGTTGTTAAACTAATACTTTTGTGATTCAAATCATGATTAAATTGTCTAGAAAAGTTATCTTTTTTTGGTTGTTGAAAGTCATTGTCTGCAGCTTCAAAATGCAGGAAAACACATCCCTGCGACTATAGAATTTCAAAATTTTCCGGGGGAGCATGCCCCCAGACCCCCCTTGGGAGCAAGGCCCTCCGGGCCTTGCCAATTCTTTGCCCGGGTGTCAAACTCAGTTGCCCTCCGGTTCAAAACCTTAATGAACCCCCTGCAGGAAGCACAAGCATGCAAAGCGTGATCCACTGAAGGTGATATCATATGGTTATGTGGGCTGATTATGATCAATGTCAATAGTGTGGTGTCATATTGAGGCCTTTGTAAAGGGCTGTTGGTTGTATGTTATTTTATTTCTGCCTGATTGTTATTATTAAAAGCATGTATGTAAAAGGTGTTCTAGAAAGTATTATGCATGGTATGTGAGAAAGCTTCTTCCATAAGTACAAAATGATATAATTGCCCCCTTAACATGCCCACTTTGTTTGCAGGCCAAGGTTAATGTTGTTGGTCTCTCATCAAGACAGCTTCAGAGGAGAATCCAACAAAAAGGCTTCACCAGGGACACAAGCATCCAGGTAAGCTCAGTTTTGTATTAATGACATTGCACTTTATCAAAGTTGCCATTTTTGGCAATGTTGCAGACTTTAAAGCAATATATACAGATGTTAAGGACTACATATGAGACATTAATATGACAGTGTGCTTTAGGAAGAACTGTAATGTTATGCACCGGTCTAATTATTGACCATAATTATTATTAACCCATTCGCCCCTGAACCGCCCGTAACCGCCCGTGCGGATCCAGGTCCTTTCTACCCTTTGTGACGTCATCAGTTTTAACGGTCAAGGACAACTTTCTTCGCTAACTTGTGCAGAGTGAAGAGATCTTTCAAACCATACCAGAATGAGCACAATTCAGTCAAGGACACCGGAGAAAGAAGCAAAAAACCACGTGACAAGGACCTGAAAATCTCCATGAAAATCTTGTTCCATTACCCACCTACCTTTCCTTTCACCTAATCCTAAGATCCTAAAAGCTTTCCTAAAAACTCTTCCCACCAAAATGAAGCCTACTAAATGCCCAGCAAGACAAAAAAAAAATGAGGCAAGAAAAGCGAAAAAAGAAGGGAGGAGAGAAAGCGAAAAGTAAAAGTCAAGACTGCTGTGTCACTTTTCAACCCAAAAACTGTCAAAATTTTGCTTTCTGCGCATGCCCGAACTTCGCAAGCTGATATTTTGCATCTGGATCAGAAGGCCGCCAAGTGTACAACCTGTAAACCGGTTTGTGGTAAGTTTTAGCTCTTTATAGCACGACAGTGACCAGAAAACCACTTGACTAGCTTCAAAACGCGTTTTTCGGCAAAATCTCTAGGAGCGAATGGGTTAATCAGTCAGTACGTCTGACAGTGTATTGCATACCATGTTGTCATGACTTTGGATCTGGATGTCATCTAGACCTCAGAGTACATTTCATCATAATTCTTCCTACACTTAATGATGTGTATACATATTTAGTTTCAAATAGAGACATTACATTTCTTTTCTTGGAATGATTTGTTGTCATCTGTAATTAACTGTAGATAGAGGCACTGAAGACTGCAAAACAGAGGAATCCTAATGGGCGTTGGTGGATTAAAGCTGATGCCTGTGATATAAGGTCCGGTATTATGGAATCCTTGCGCCGTGAGTGGTCTGGGGATGTAGACTTGGGAGACGGGCAACTGGAGCAACTGCACCAAACATACATGCAGTTGATAAGTTTTATTAAAGGGATTGGTTTAGAAAAAAGAAAGCCCTTGCAAGTTGTTATCCAGGACTTGAGGGAAGAGTTGAAAACACTAACAAATGATTCTGAGTTTTTGCAATCAGGTCTCAGGAAATCGAAGGAAATTTATGAAAAAAAAAGGAAGCAAAGCAATACCCCAGAGAGCAGCATGTTTGCTCTAGCTTGGGATGTCAATGCTTATGAAACCCTGAAATCGTTGAACCATGATTTGCAAAACAGATGCAGCAGCATAATTTCCAAGTGTTTAGGGCCTGCTAATCAGAGAGGAAATCTTCCCCAAACTTAAGCACAATTAAGGAAAGGTCTGTCACAGTACACCAAAGATGTGTTCTCTAAAAAAAGGGAAGCGGCCACGCATCTGATGATCTTCATGGTGGCTGATGAACGCAGGGACATGAAGCCCTATGGCATTCCAGTGAGAGCCCTGCCATTCTAGAGCATAACAGATGCAAAAGTTAGGCAACTTCGTGATGAACTTAAGTTGGAAATGGAAAACTTGGGGATGGTAGTTGTGGGTATGTTTTCTTTGCCACTTTATATATATATATATATATATATATATGTTGCATAAAAAAACGGTCCTTGTAAAAATGCGTCATTTTTATGTAAAAAAGCTGCTTTTTTACAAATTGAGCGGTTGTAAAAATACTGCTTTTTTACAAAAATATATTTTTGTAAAAAAGCAGCTTTTTTACGTAAAAAAGCTGCTTTTTTACAAGTTACCTGGTTGTAAAAATACTGCTTTTTTACAAAAATATATTTTTGTAAAAAAGCAGCTTTTTTATGTAAAAAAGCTGCTTTTTTACAAATTAGCCGCTTGTAAAAATACTGCTTTTTTATGTAAAAAAGCTGCTTTTTTACAAAATATATTTTTGTAAAAAAGCAGCTTTTTTACAAGTTACTTGGTCGTAAAAATACTGCTTTTTTACAAAAATATATTTTTGTAAAAAAGCTGCTTTTTTACAAAATATATTTTTGTAAAAAAGCTGCTTTTTTATGTAAAAAATCTGTTTTGTTACAAAAGGTATTTTTGTAAGAAAGCTGCCTTTTTTATGTAAAAATCCTGCTATTTTACACGTATAGACCATTTGACAAACTCATTTATCGAAGACAAGCTGTTTTCCATAGCATGGTTCCAAATTTATTGAACTGTAGTTTTCGTGCGGCTAGTCACGTTCACGTTCCCGTGTCCCCTTTATTGTGGGGCGTTTAAATTCCCTTGTTAACTCGCTGACAGCGTTAAAAATTTACGTTCTTTTTATTCTTTTTATTCTTTCTTCTTGTTTCCTTTGTCATTCAATTTTCCAGGACCTTCTAATTGTTGGATGCGAAGAAGGAACAGGCAGTAATTTCATTTGTTATCCTTATCGGCTGAGGTCACGCACGGCAGTAACTGCATGTTAGGCAATAATAGAATAGCTGGGTTATTCACTGTCTTATTTATAAGCAATGCCTGTCACAATCTCTTGCAGCAACCAAAGACTTCTATTCTCTCCTTCATTGCTACTCTTGTTCAAGCCGAAAACTGTACAGAATATTGTTCTGTATTATTTATCTATTTTCCCAAGGTTATCAGCTGCAATGATCAGTTTAACTGTCAACAAAATACTTGGCTATAATGCTTTGGTGCTCTTAGCAGTGGATAAATAAATTATAACTCCATTTCTAGCATAAAATCTCCAGCAAGAATCAACGACAGCAATTGTTAGGCAATTTCCTGTATTATGTATGATGCGCTAAACTTCTATCACGGGATTCATGCTATGTTGAAATCCATGTTGATGCATGCAAGATTGTCATGTCTGCGTTACAACTTTAAGCTTTCAACATGATGTAGGAACATGTTCAGTCGGCTAATCAAGCAAAAGGAAACGCTAGCCTATAGCTACAAGCGTACATACACTCGCTTGTTAGTCTAATTTTGCAATACAGAGAGCAACTTGTAAGGCCATAAAAACAGCAGACCACAGCAGCCGATTTGTTTATAAGAATTTGGGACTATAAAGGCGGTCTGTAACGTACGACAATGCGTGTTTTATTTTAGAGATCGAGAAATCAGCCAGAAAACACTTGTAAAGGCTAAACAAGTTTAATATGAACACTAGCTGAAATCGCCAGCAACATTTAGAGTATGACCGTTTTTTTACAAAATATATTTTTGTAAAAAAGCTGTCCTTTTACAAATATATATCAGTGTAAAAAAACAGCTTTCTTACGGTACCGTTTTTTTACACAACATATATATATATATATATATATGTATATATATACCAGTCTCATATATATATATATACATTTACATATATTTTTTAATTCCATTTTAAGCTACAGCTAGCATGATCTTGCCCACAAATCATCTCAAGTAGCCCCAAAACCCTTTTTGATTGGCAGGATTGATTACAATCCTTCTGTAATTTGAATTTTCCCAGAAAACAGCACTTGTCCGTCTGGCAAGTTAAAAACAAACATCACTATCCTGATAGCAATATCCACTAGCCCCAGGCTATCGGACATGACTTTCTTTGCACGCTGATTATATATATTTTATGTATTAGGTTTTGTAACTGACGGAGAGTTTAACTCATTAAGGACCAAGGGCTCCCAGAGACCAGTCTCAGTAATTCAGCTGATGGCAGATGCAAAGTCTAAGGCCAAATCCATTCCGGCTAGTCGAATAGCAAGATATCTTACACCCAAGTGAAGAACAAAGGTAAAGTTAATGGTTTCTGTACACTTTATGCTCTCTGATGGGCTGTTTGCAAGTCAACAGTGTCATGGTAAAAGAACAATAATTATTTTGGCTGAATATTCTCAAACATCACAGACATGGCTATAAATTATTTAAGGAAAACAAATTATCGACTTCCATGCATTTAAGAGCCATTATCTGAGAAAATCGAGAATCGCACGACACTCGTCAAAAAATCGAATTTTTTTTTATTTTGCCAAAACATCCCTTTTAGTGACCTTATTTAAGGAAAAATAGTTTTGGGTTCAAACGATTCATTTTAAAGGAGAAATTAGGAAAAGTTTGAAAAATCGATTTTATGCTCGTTTTTCGCACAAAACACGGCAGGATGCAATGGCAACTTCGAGAGAAGGGTGAACGCGTAAGAAACATTCCCTGACATTGAAACTTCACCGAATTATTATTTTGTTCTTACTCTTTAAAATCCTAAAAGAAAATTTGATAAACAATGCTTTACATTTTTATAATCGACAAGTGTAAAGAGGTCATATTTGTGACGTTAGACGTGCTAGAAAATGAAGGCCAACTTTGACTATTAAAAAAGGCCTCTGGTATATGCCGCTTGATCATAAAATCAATATAAAATGGAGCCTTGGCTTTTGTACTAACTTACTTGAAAGTTTTAGCTCTGGAAATCAAATATCATCCTGACACCAAAGCAAGCGGTGAGAGCAATTGAATTGGGAAATTTATGCAAATTAGACGGCTTGCGGACGGTAAAAAGAAGGTTTTAGATGAAAGGATTACTCACCATTGCTTGTAACACGTTTTTACGGCAAGGGAAGTTATTTCCAACTTCTTTTGCGTCGTTTTGAGTCACAAAATAAATAATTTTTAGCCAAAAGACAAACGTACGTTTGCTAAGCAACTGCGTCCGAATCCGGCCGTGAATCGAAAGTCCCAACGCGTCGAAGCAAGAGTTACAAGAGTTTTTACTTCAGTCAGGAGGCAATAAAATAATAAAAACTCATCGCAAACTATAAATGACTTCGATTTTGAAAACCTTTCATCACTTCAATCGTTCGTCGGCTGATAATAAACATCGCACAAGATCGTATGACCTTTGGCGTGTGACCGGAAATTGGTCACACGCTTCAGTCACGTCAGCATGCTGTCACGAAATTTTCGTAGCTGTTGTCAGCAATTTTAATACAGTTTTCACATTTTTTGACAAGAACTCCCCTCATCGCAGTAGAAACAGCCATGCATATTTATTTTTCTTTTATTTACCTACTAGGCTTGGAAACAGCTTTTTTGCCTTCGAAGTACTAAACAGGAGGGGTACCTCGGATTCCAAGTGTCGTGAGTGACGCGTGGAAGCGAAAATCAAGACCAAAAAAGAACGAATATTTTGAATACTTAAGTAAAGCCACAGCTAAAAAAAAAATTTTTTTGTTCAAAATATTTTCAAACCAAGAAAAAAACATACTTCGATCATCCCTGTGACTTGGAATCTGGCCAGGGTACCCCCTCCCCCTCCCCTCCTCCCCTATGCCGGGTCAAAATACTAAGTTCCCCGGCCAAATGTCCCATAGTCAAGGGAGTATACTCTCTTGCTGTAGTAAAGAACTTGCAGAATAATACCAATTCTCCGTGGCCAACGGATTCAACGCTATAGTTTACTTTGGTTTTCGCCTATAACCCCAACCGCGACCAAATTATGAAACCTGTTATTACCAGAAAAAAAAAACACAAAGAAACAGTCAGTCAGATAGACAGTACATAATAAAAAAGACCTCGATTAAGATTTAAAAAAATCAATACATGACACTGTCGAATACGAAAACCCAGAAACCATTTTGTGGAAAAAAGGTTCGTATACAGCTATCAGCTGCTTTTGTCCACAACTCGCCGGTAGAGGTGCGCGGAAACTAGTGATTGTGAAATGGCTTCAAACTATGATCCTATACTGTTGGAATATTACTTATCACAGAAAGCTACATCTGATTTCTTCTAGCAGACACAATCCTCTTGGTTCGTGTGGACAAAGTAGCTCATCCCGGCTATTTGCACCATGCTACTATAGTCTCCCTAGATTCCCAAGCCTCACACGCAGACTTTCCTGTCCCACGAACGTTGGGTAGGATTATAGGACGAGCCAAAAGAAAGTGAAGGCTATAGGCTCTCGCGATGATGCAAGGAAGGTCGAGTATTATATTCCCCTATCCTGGTCGCCCAGGGTAAGTCTTCGGAGGAGAGTGACTTAGGGGCCGTATGTTCGAAAAGTTGACTAACGCCCCCGGGACTAACGCTTTCCCCTGGATAAATCTATATCCAATAAGTAACGCAATTGCTTCTTCTTATTCGCTTGATAGTGATTTCCTGTTGTTCAACGTTTGAACAACAGGGCCCTAAGTATTGTGTTTCGCCTTGCACTAAAAACCCATAAACCTTATAAATTTCACTATGGGACTTCAGCACCTCCCTTGAATGATCCATTTCGCTAAACGGGACCTCAAAACAACGATTCTGTGCATCCTAAGGGAGTGTATACTATACGTTCCTGACTCTCGTCACTCACAGTGAGGTGATGGTGGCTCATACTCTAATAGACCTAACACAGTCGAACCTCCATGTGCGACCGCCAATCCAAAAGACCAAATTTTCCCATTCAAAGCCTTATATTTGGAACCTCCAGTAAACGACCTTCTGTAAGTGACTGCGACCACTTTTGGGCGTCACGGTTAATTGTTTTCCATAAGCGACCAGTTGACGCATTCTCTGCTCTCTATTTTTGCTGTGTGCACTATGTTCCTTGGAAAATATAAAGACCTTTAGTGACATCGTGGAACTACACATATCCTAACTTAGTAGATGTAGCCAACAAAGTGAAGATTCTGTTGTGATTCTAGACTATTCTATATCTCACTCACCTGAATCCCTCTTTAAATTGAGCATGATTTAAAAGCTGTATTTTTCAAAAGAGGTAAAAGATAATATTTTGCCAGGAATTTGTTACACCGCCATTTAATAGAAAGTGCCCGGACCTCTAGTGGACATCTAACTGACAATCAAAGTTTGTGCTTATTATTGGGGTTATCTGGTGTTTACTCACCTCCCAAGCTACCCTGGGCGAGCCAACTTTTCATCCATTTCCTTACAAAACTTGGTAAACCATTTACATGAGAAACAAAAGGTTGGTTCGGATAGACGCCTTACTACCAGTAGTGGGCGGGGTTGAGGGCTTCCGGAAGTCAGCCCTCCACTGAGCCGGTAGTGGTGGCCTCACCCTTCTAGCCCGGCTAATATTTCTTCAGCTAGCTGGGACGACACGGTCAAGGCTAGACAAAGACAGCATGCGCAAGCACTGTTGACTCGGACAAAGTGGTCAGTTTTTTCCTCATACAAACGCTCGCAAAAGTTGGCTCGGCTGGGAGGTTGACCTTCTCTCCGGCACAGCTTTTCTCCATCCATGGGTTCCAAACAGTCTTTTAGCAGTCACGTTTGAAATTTATAGGAAAATGATGTAGCACTTCAAAAAATAATAATAATAAAAAATACACGTTTTTCACAGCCTGTCAATGCCTAGAAGGTGTCTATAAAAGAAATCAACTGCAGAACAGGAGTCAATTTCAGTTTTTTGCGCTTTTCATGCTAGCACTGCGAAGCGGACTGGGGGTGCGAGACACGCGCGATGCATGGGGAACAAGTTCTGCAGGCTATAAAAGAAATTAAAAAACAAACAAACAAATAAAGCAGGCCTGATTTTATTTCGATGAGTCTATTTTTTGTCGAAAGCAAACGTGAAAAATCGTATTAAAATTCGTGACAGTATGCTAACGTGACTTAAGCGTGTGACCGATTTCCGGTCACACGCCAAAGGTCATACGATCTTGTGCGATGTTTATTATCAGCCGACGAACGATTGAAGTGATGAAAGGTTTTCAAAATCGAAGTCATTAGTTTGCGATGAATTTTCAATCTTTTGGCCTCCTGACTGAAGTAAAAACTCTTGCAACTCTTGCTTCCAAAGGACCGCAGTGACGTGTTGTGACTTTATTTCGATTCACGGCCGGATTCTGGCGCAGTCGCTGAGCAAACGTACGTTTGTCTTTTGGACCTTTTGGCTTAAAATTATGGATTTTGTGACTCAAATCGACGCAACAGAAGTTGGAAATAACTTTCCTTGCCGTAAAAACGTGTTACAAGCAATGGTGAGTAATCCTTTCATGTAAAACCTTTCTTTTAGTTTGACAACCGTCTGCAAGCCGTCTAATTTGCATAAATTTCCCAATTCAATTGCTCTCACCGCTTGCTTTGGTGTCAGGATGGTATTTGATTTCCAGAGCTAAAACTTTCCAGTAAGTTAGTACAAAAGCCAAGGTTCCATTTTATATTGATTTTATGATCAAGCGGCATATACCAGAGGCCTTTTTTAATAGTCAAAGTTGGCCTTCGTTTTCTAGCATGTCTAACGTCACAAATATGACCTCTTTAGACTTGTCGATTATAAAAATATAAGACATTGTTTTTCAAATTTTCTTTTAAGGTTTTCAAGAGTAAGAACAAAATAATAATTCGATGAAGTTTCAATGTCAGGGAATGTTTCTTACGCGTTCACCCTTCTCTCGAAGTTGCCATTGCATCCTGTCGTGTTTTGTGCGAAAAACAGGAATAAAATCGATTTTTCAAACTTTTTTTAATTTCTCCTTTAAAATGAATCATTTGAACCCAAAACTATTTTTCCTTAAATTAGGTCACTAAAAGGGATGTTTTGGCAAAATAATAAAAAATTCGATTTTTTGACGAGTGTCTTGCGATTCTCGATTTTCTCAGAAAATGGCTCTTAAGCCCTATTTTCTTCAATGTTCACACCTTGCTTCTGCACCATGTCACTTTTGAGCAACAGAGAACCCATAGCATGAATTTTATTGCAAAGTATCCTGCCCAGCAAGATGCAGTTTTTTAAAAATATTTTTGGAGCTACCAAATTAAATGGTAAAGAGTTTGAATGCAACTTTACATTCTTGCTTTCTCTCAAAGGTGGGGCAGTGGAACCTGAAGTGCCACATCCAGCTGTTCCAATCAAAGATGTCGTTCTGCTGAAATCTCTCTTGGACGATGGACGTTCCTTTACATCTGCCCTCCGGCTCCTTAGACGAAGTCACTTTCCATTTAACTATGATCCACATCCATGGAAGCCTGGTATGTTATGATAAAGTTACCAATAAGCCCCCAATAGTTTATTAATGACAAAGGTTGGTGGCCAGCTTGGCACTATTTCCCAAAGCCACCAAAGTAAATGCTCAAATTTTTTAGTGTGCATTGAAATAACTTTGCCCTTCAGCTCTAGGGATGAAGTCACTTTCCATGTAACTATGATCCACATCCATGAAAGCCTGGTATGTTGATCATCACATTTACTATAGGCAGCTGACAATTTATTAACTTATTTGTTTCTTTGTTCCAGGTAATAGTATCAAGTAATTTCTTAGTAAAAATTGTTAAATAAGTTGTATTATTTTAATTTGCTTGTCTTTAAGGTAAGCCTGAAAATAAGACTGAATGTTTAAAGTCTTTGATGGCCACCTACCTGTACCGCAAGAAAGTAAATGACTACAGTGCATTGGGTGTTAACTTCAAAGAACATCTCTATGTCCCAGAAGTAAATGAAGTGAATGGTGAGACATTTCATGAGCGTGAAGATCATAATCATGTGTTGAAGCGCATAACATCATGCGCTAGAGCAGGGACAATCCCATCAATAGGTCTGCAGTACTTCAGAGATGCTCTACATGATGAAAATAGTGGCATGACTGTCTTATGAGGCTCTTACTGGAAAAAGAAAACAGTCTGTTCCTGATTGCGAGAAATTTTTCTCCATTGGTGTCCTTAAGTTCTTCCAGAACAACAACCACAAGAATGAAGCACGAGTTGTTGAGATCATTTTGAACTGGCACAAAGCGAATGATGGATGGGGACTCTCTGAGGAGGAAAGACGGAAGTACAACCTGGCTTTGCTGGATTGGATTCTCGAGGACTGGATGCCTTGGTATTGGTACTGTAGAGACTACTCAACCATGGATGTCAATAGGTGAGAATCTCACTTTAACCTTAATCACTTTATACCAAATGAACACAGAGACATAAAAAAAACATTATATAACTTCAGATAGTAACCCTTAATGCCTCAATATCCATACTGACATTTTCCTGTTCCCATTCAAGACAATTTGACACTTTTCTATTGCTGATCATTTTCTTAATTCTCATAAACATTTCTCATGATGATATACTCACATTATGGGAAGAAAATCGTGTTGGCCTCTCTTGGGATTTTAAGAGTTGGGAAAAGGAAGCTTGGGGGTTTTTTGAATGAGGAGAATAAAGAAAATGGCACATCAATAAATCTACCTGTAGTTCTCCTTTTCATTTTTTTGGTTTCAAGTAACTGTCAATACAGCTGTACCTATAGACTTAATGGAATCGCTTTTAGATTTTAAGGAACAAACCTTTAATACAAAGATTAGGCAAAAAGTATTTTCAATGTTATTAATTTGAAAAACATTAATTTTGCCTATTACCTTGCATGTTTGCAGACCAGTGAAGGGTATTCAAGGTTTAACAAGAGAAATCATTGTTGCTCTGGTGGCAAACCTGGAGAGCAGAGAGTTGAGACGATCAGAGGGTGAAGCAAGAGGTTTGCCCTCTGAAAACCCCAGGGCAAGTACCACTGAAGATGTTGAAGGAATGATTGCCCTTTTCCATGAGTTGCTTGGACCAATTTTTGATCACAAGGCATTTAAGCAAGAATTCCCAAAAATAATGAATGAATTCAACAAACGGATTGATCCTGATCTCCCATTTTACTATTGGACTGGCATCCATGAGCGTTTTCATTAAATGAAAACGCTCATGGATTAGCTTTGCCGAGCTTCAATGAGCCGAGCTTCAATGAGCCATCTCAATCAGGAACTGAACGCTTAGATCGAGTAGTGATTTCACGTAGAGCTGATCCAGGGGTGTTTGTGGCAAACCGTGCCAATCTGCCTCAACGGGGCTCGCTAACTGTTAGGGCTCAATTTCATGCAGCAAGTGAGACACTTCCTCCAATGAATTTATCTGACTTTTAATAGTCGTTTCCATGCAGTTGTTATTCAGAATCACAATGCTGCATTTCATTAAGTGTGTTTTACAGTCTATTTAGCATTACCCACAGTCTCGAAAATTATGAAGGACAATTTAATGCACTTAAAATGTCAAGTAACAACATGGTGGTAGCCTTTGAACGTAGTAAACACATAACATTGATACCACTTTTTAGGAAAAAAAAATCTAATTAGTTGTACTGTGTTTTTAAACTTGTTGTAAATTTCAACATTAATGTAACTACCAAATAATTTTCTATCAGAAGAATAGATGAAAATGATGAAAAATTTAAATTCCTAGTTGAAGACTAAGTAAAAATATTATTATTGTACTCGAGAACTGGCTTGTACAACTTGAGGAGGCCATTCACCTTTGCAAGATAAAAACAATGTCATGTAGTACCCTAATTTTGCCCACTGGGTGGGGAACTTTATCTGATATACAGATGCACTCTGTAGTCTTCTAGAATTTAATACACGATGGACATATTTTGTTAGCTCTTCTGCTATAAACCCAACATGCTTAAATCCTGTTCCATAGTCTATCAAAACACGAATAGCATTTGCATCAAAGTCATTGTCAGGATCTGGCTCAATCATGGCTTTAACAACAAAGTTCGGATCATCTTGCATTTTCATGCATGCTGCCTTTAGGTGGTTCTGTCTCTCAGTTTTGTAAACAACACCCATTACTTTAAAAGGAAGAGTATGAACAACAAACTCTTCCTCGTCCTCTTCTTCTTCATCATCAATGTCCAACTGACAAACGTTTTCAACTAAGTTCTCATCACCAGAAGAGGAATTTGCACTGGATGTAGATTGTTCACTATTATAGTCAAAACACTCCCACTCCCAAATCACAGTGTATTGGGTATTATCAATGGTAATGATGCAAGTTGATGAGGCAGTTATTTCAAAAGGCGTTGATAACAACCGAAGCCTTGGATCTGAACTCTGGAAAAGTACTTCCTTTACGTGACCACCACAGCTCACTTTCCCCTTTGTCCAGTCAATGACTAAAACGGGTAAGCATGGCACGGTCCATGGAAACTTTCCATTAGTGTCCACCTCAATTACAGTTAGCACTTGTGAACTGGTGGCTTGTCTGGGTGCTGATCCTCGAGGCCCAGGAGTGCCATTAGAGGTCACAGCACCCAAGGTTACTGGAAAAAGTCCCGCCTGTAATGGGAAAAAAAACACTTCATTAATATGTTTATGTAAGGTAACAGTATCATCCATCCTTATAAGAAAAATAATATTATCAACGCAATCATCAATGTACATGTACATAGAAAAGCCATTGTACTAAACCATTTGCATTATGAAATTTTCTAAACGCCAGTGTAACTTGTTAAACTTAGGATCTTGGAAGATTACAATAAGTATTTACTTTATCAACACAAAGACAGTACAGTACCTCAGCCGAAGGCATGGGAAAATTCCGCACTCTTTCTCCAGTTTCCACATTTATATTGCCAATAGCAATGTCTGCGGCCACCTGATCAGTCGGTCGTCTGCTAATAATAAGTTAAAGTCTATTTCAAGATAATAGCAACAATGCTTAATGATAGTGTAATAGTAGATTGATGACCAGAGACACACATGTTATTCTGCATTTTACAATAGTATAACTGAAGTGTTTTGGTCTATTGTGACTTTCACCACTTCTAAACATACAAGGCTTGGATATTAGTTTTGCTTTTGATTGTTTCCTTTATAATTTGCTGCAACAAGAACTAAAATGTGTTTGAGAAAGTTAATAATAATAAATTGCCCTGTTTGAGAATTAAACAAAATCAGCCCTCAATGAACATTACTATTTGCTAAATATTGGGAAAATTATGAAATATTTTTAGTCAGAAATCTGTAAGAATGGAAACACACTGATTAGGTCTTGAGGTAGAACCCTTTTGCATTCAAATAAAGGATACGGAAAGTTGGTGGAAAAAAACTCATTGTTGACATCTCCATTAAGTGGAACCACTCTTTTGGTACCAGGGTTAAACACTGGTTGATGCAGGAAGGTTTTGTCTGCCATCTCAAACATCTCATGATATCCATCAGGGATAACAAGTGAAGGCTTGTGGAGGATTTCTCTCACGTTACTTATGGCCCATTGTGTGCCTTTATTGCCAGCTGCCTCCAAAACAGTTCGGGCACGTTGCAGTCCAATCCCTCTAATGGACGAAGCGTAGTCACATCCTGATAGGATGCACATGTGTCTAAATTTTTTGAAAGTGAAGTCCTTGAATTTCAGGGCAGAGTTCAGATCCTCCCTTTTTATTAGCTTCCCACTTCCACTGTGATTCATTTTAAATACCGGTAAGACCTGAAAGTTAGAGACAAACATGCAATTAGTATTGATCCTTGCAGGACAATACAACAAATGGCTGAATCACTAAAATAACATGACAAATATGAGCGATGAATAGAGTAAAATTAATAGTCAGTGCCTAACCAAATAAAAAAGGGCTTTATAGAGAACACACCTGTAGAGACTTTCAACAATCCCAGCCCTTGGCTACATGGGGTGGGTATAAATATTATCTACGACACAATGTATTTTTGAATTTGTAAGACATTCATTTGTTCTAAATAATGAAGATTTACCAACAACACAATAAAAAATTACCTGTATACAACCAAACACCAACAGGTCTGAGTCCTCAGTGATAACAACATCTGCATAACCCTCTTTATTAAGATATGCAAGCTGGGCATCAGCCTCAAATGGTGCCACCAAATATTTAATTCCTCTCTGTCTACATGCCTGAGGAGAAAAAAACCTCGAATCAAAAACAAATGAAAATGACTACACAAAAAAGGAAAGAAAATTTAGGTTAAATGTAGTCCCTAGTTAATAACCACTGAGAGACACCAAACATAGTCCTAAATTCTTGGTTAAAGTTTTTATTCTTGGTTCAAAATTTTTTGTCTTCTTGAGAAGGCTCTGCTAGCAGACTGAACCAAAAGCTAATAATATGATATCCAAAAAGGGAAAAATATATACCAAAGATTGCACTACAGCATAAATATGACTTTCATAAGTTTACATGTAAAGCACTTTGAAACGCAACATTTCAAACTCAACTTTTACTTTTTGGGAGTAGCCAAGTAAAAGAAAGACTGAGATATCTATATTGCCAGTAACACTGGGTTACCTCCATCAACTTGAGGGCCATATCATTTGAGATGTTCACAGCCTTTTTGAACAGTTCCTTTGCTTCTTCTTTCCGCCCTTGTCTCCAAAGAGTTAAACCTTTGTCCCGAGATTCTTCACGATTCCTAATAATTCATACCAAAAATAAGGAACAGATAAAACTGAATTTATACGGACAAAAACGACTAGGAAACCTCCGCTAACTTCATGTTGTCCTCACCTTCTTCGAAAGGATTCCACATTTGCCTTGGCCTCCAGCTCCATTCCATCGAAAACCAGAATAGGCTGCACATTATTTTCGACGAGCATATCAATATACTTCATGCACATGTCAATGTACCTGAGAAAATAAAATCTGAGGTGAAAAGAACGACTAAAGAGAAGCTTACGTTTAAAATCATGCACTTTAAGCACGTGTAAGAACGAAGTGTTGATACGTACCGCGTTGTTTCAATCCCTAGAATTATCTCTTCGGCACAGAAAATAGCAGCTTTATGAAGCCAGCAGTAAGCATCGATTGCGGCAACCTTTCCGGAAAAAGATCGAACATGAACGTCCCATGTTATGTCCTTTAAAAGTGGAAGAAGGCCTGTAATGCCCATGTCACACTCTTTCTATGGCGTAACGAGAGATGTCACTGAGTTGTGAACACCGCCTGGGTCAGATGCAAATGAGCCGTTTTCATTTTTTTCCCATGAAGCGCTTCGGACCGTGTCCAACACCGCCTGAGTCAATAGTTTACAGACATAATTACAACCAGGTGAACTATGAAGGGCGCATCGTGCTGGGTTATTCTGTTGATGTTTGCTCTTCTGGAAGCTTGGAGACTTAAATGTTTGGCAGTTGCTAATCAAGGTAAAACCTCTTTTCCATTTTTCTTTTCCGAGGTAGCCTGCGAAAACATCCGTTTCTCCTCGCTCTTCGTCGCTGTGGAGAAACGGATGTTTTCGCAGGCTATTTCCGAGGGTGATAACAACTTCCCCGAGGACAATCTTCCGGATTGTTTATGATAAATGGAACTACAAGAAATGAAAAGCTTCAGTTCTCATGCTCCCTTTTCTTACAGTGAAATTTCTCTTATGTCACAGAAACAAATTGTAGTGCATGAATTTATCACGATAAATGTCTGAGGATTTCGTGTAACATCGCTCTACTCACGACTCTCAATATAGAAATCATTCAGCAAGTAACTCTCCAGACGGCACTGCAAAAGGTTAATTTTCTTGGACCAAAGTTTATTTATAACATAGCGCGCGTGCTTGCCCTATATAAGTCCTATTGAGCCGCTATGAACAAAATCTTTATTTACGCACGCCCGTGCGTAAATAACATGATGTAAGCTTTTTTTTTTTTACCTGGCTGCAAAGTTGTCGTCTTTTAAGCTGCAGTGCACTTTTCCTTCTCTTTAAAATATGGAAGAAACGAGCGAAGAAATGCCAATTTTTCTATCGGCATTGACCTTTCAGGTCCTGATCCAACAGGAGCAAAAATAAAGCCGAATTAAAAAAACTCGCAAGTTGCGTGTTTTGCAAATTTGTCGAAGACCAGCTGCAGCAAATTTTGGCCGAAAGACATTCACTGGGAACAGAAAAGACACCAGCTGGTCATCAACAACATTTAAAGGCAAAATTTCCGTTTTAATTGTTGTTTTTAAATTTGTTATGCACTTTTTCTCTCGCAATAACAACACAAATTACACAAGGAGACATAAATTTATTACTCACAAAAACAACTGCTGCCAGGTCTTCTCAAGAAGCCGTAATGACAAGCCAATGCTCGTAAATGAATATAAGTTTAAAGAAGGATGACAGTCGTCTTCGCTAAAAACATCTTTTCTGGATTTCGTTGAGCAAAACGTAAACATCTTTTCAGCAAATCCAAACTATACTCCACGACTTCTCACGAACATGTCACGGAGGATTTTAACTTTAGGTAAACTTTAAGACTCTTTTACCTTTGTTTCGGCTTAGTTTCCATTGATCGTTAACGAATAAAGAAGCAAATTTCTTTTTCACTTTTACAGAAAGAATATTTTCATTCAAACTAGACGATTGTGGCGTGTTCATAATCAGCCAATAGAACCGTTTGTTATTGTGTCGCGCGTTACGAGAATTTTGCAGTTAATCAAAAAGTAAGCATTATTGTCAGCTATGTTATAAAAGAATTTGCTCATGCTTTTAGCTGTGCGTATATCGAGTTATAGATGCACTTGGGAAGTTTGGAGAGGTCGGAGAGCACTCAAGAAGCTAGAGTTGCACTCGGCTATCGCCTCGTGCAACTCTTACGCATCTTTCGTGCTCTCCAAACTTCCCGCGTGCACCATAACTCTATATACGCACGCTAAGCATGAACAAATTCTTGCCACACGATTACAATAATTACAAAAAGATGCCAAAAAAAAAAAAAATGTAAGAAGAGATGGCGAGGAGGCCTAAAAGAAACTATAGAGCTTATGTTAATTAGGCCTCCTCAATTACAATTTTTCAAAGATGGCATAAAAATTACGGCGACGGATACTTAACAATTATTCGCCGAAGGCGAAGTTAATATTGTTGAATAATCCCCGAGACGAAGTCGAGGGGATTATTCAACAATATTAACTGAGCCTGAGGTGAATAATTGTTTTAGTATATTCACACGAAGTGATCTCAACAGAATCAGAAAGGAAACCATTGAAAAACGATTAGTTTGATTGACGGGTGAAAATTCATGCGTGAACACGAAGCCGTAAACAGTGGATGTGCAAAAGTTAGATCTTTACAGTATCTTCAAACATGGCAAATGATAGTTTTAATCCTTTTGTATCGAGTTTTGTAAGATTTAGCATCAACGGTTTAAAAGAAAACGCCGAAAATTTAAATTACTACCCAATTCTGAGAAGAAAAGTATCTAGAGCTTTATGTGTTTCTGTCAACTCACCGTGAATGAGAAAGTTTTCTTCGTCGCTTCTTGCAAATGCTGTCAACAGCGGCTGCGATCAAGGTGAGCGTTGTTTATCTCCAAAGTTCTTTGCCTTGTTAACTTGCTGGCACGTACAATTTTCGAAAATATTTGCCTTCCTCTCTTCTCCATAAATTAACTTCTATTTATAGGCAAAATTGGTCTTGCGAGAAAATCCCGAAATCACAAAACAGTGACAAAGCGACCTCGTTTTCCTCTGTAGTGGTAAACATAGCTTCGAGCGTACAAAAAGTCAGCTAAAGTAAACCACTTCACAATAAATCATGCTGTTTAAACACCATGAAGTCTTTTCTTGCCTTCAAAGTCATCAGCACTTGGATATTCGTGTATTTTCAAAAAGGTTTTACTTTGAAACTTTGGCAAAACACCCAGTTCACGACAGCGATTTTGTTCGGTTTTATATTCACCGCCTAGCGTGGTGAATATAACGTCATAGTCCGAGATAGCTAACCAATCAGATTGCTTGAATTACCAAGATCACTGAGTGTGTATATACTAAAATATATTATTAAAAACTGAATCATTGGATAATGCAATTCTAGCATTTTGATTGGCTTAGCCGTTATGGTATATGAGCTAATATACCATGTTCTCCATATATGGTCGGTGTACGCGTCAGTTTAAAATGTGGAAGCTAGCTGTGATTTTTTTTCGCGAAGGATAGAACGGCGCCCGAAGCAAATCGTTTTAATTCATGTCTTAGAATACTAGAAATGCAATTTCAACGAAAGAAAAAAGACAAAAACAAACAAAAAAGCCACAAGAGCTTGTTTGAAAGTTTGTCGAAAAACACATGAAAACACATGGAACTAAAGTACCTTGACCAGCTACGAAAGAAGACAAGTGTTGTTTCTTCATGATCGCGAAGCCATTCGCCGATCGAGTCACTCTCCGATAGATAACTGCAGCTTGTTTATCCGACATCAAGAATATAAATCACAAGTAACCAGCTACAAATACAGGCTATGCTGCCATTCACTAGAGCAATCGAGGCGGCAGTATAGCTTCTTTTCTCGTTCAGCAAAACCAGCTTGTGGCTTCAAACAACTTCATAACAAGCGACCGAGGTAATACCGGTAGTTTTTCTCCGTTGTTCTTACTTTTATAACTGCACCGAAAATCCAAATTCATAGTAATTTCGACGGCTGTCACTTAAAAATTCCTTTCCTTCACATTATCTGCCAGGTTTTTTAAGCTGTTCTGCTGTGTAAAATCCTAGAATCACGATGAGTTTTTAAAAAACTAATGTTCATCGCACAATGTTTTGATTTTTCATTCATGCAGTCTAGGCGAGCCCGGTTCGCGCGTTGACATTGTTGATAGACGTGTGACATGTCAATAGCGGAAGTCCCTTGTCTTTTCCGGTTTGTTCTAGTCGGGGCGATTCAACGAGATTTTGTGGGCGTTTTTAATAAAACAATTATTCCACTCGGGCTTGTTGGATATGAAATGATTATAGCCAACTCGGCGCTATGCGCCTCGTTGGCTATCTATCATCTCATATCCAACGCGCCCTCGTGGAATAATTGTTAAATATCAGGTGAAAATTTAAACTAATCAATATTACGGAAGTTTACAAATGTTGAATATTAAAAGGCTTTTTCCCAAGATTTTTGTTGGAGTATACTAATAATTATTACAAATAAATGCCTTAAGTGCTCTTTTAAAGGAGAAAGGTGAAGAAGCGTTGATGATGTTGGTGTTTAAGGTGTTGTAAAATTTAGGTCCTTGATAAAAAACGGAAAATTGTTTGGTTCGAGTACGACAGAAAGGCAGACGAAATTTACACGAGTTTCTTGTATTATACGAATGAATTTGACTTTGTAAGGTAAATTTACAATGAAATTTTAAAGGTAGAGTATGGTTTTGATAGGAGTACATGAATAAGCCTAGTTGTATTAAGTGTATATCATGAAATTTTAAGATACCAAGATTTTGAAAGATTGGATCAGTATGTGCATCGAAAGTGGTTTTAGCTATAGTTCTAATCACTCGTTTCTGTAAAATCTCAAGACGAATAAGGTTAGTTCTGTAAGTAGAGGCCCAAACTAAGTTGCAGTAAAAAAGGTATGGATAGATTAGAGAGAAATATAGTGTTCGTAAGGTTTTCGTGGATAAATAGAAACTGGATTTACGAATAATTCCTTTGCATTTAGAAACTTTATTGGCGACATGTGAGATTTCAGATTTCCAATTTAAATTTTCATCCATGATTACTCCCAAGAAAACTGTTTCTTTTACTTGATCAATTTTTTGATTATTAATTAAAAGTTGAATAGTTTGATTTGTACGCTTTTGGGATGGTTTAAATGCAATGAATTTGGTTTTTTTTCAAGTTTAATGAAAGCCTGTTAGCTCTAAACCATATTGACAACTTATTTAGCTCAGCGTTCAGTATATTAGTAAGGCAGTCTTTATCCTTGTGAGACACAAATACGTTTGTATCATCAGCAAATAATATCAGTTGTAATATTGTTGACATGTTGATTATATCGTTGATGTAGAGCAGAAAAAACAAAGGCCCTAGAATTGAAACTTGGGAAACGCCACACATGATATTAGCACGATACGAAACATAACCATTGTATTCTACAAATTGAAGTCTGTTGGAAAAATAGCTCTTAATCCATTTCAGAGCCAAGCCACGTATACCATAGTGTTCAAGTTTATCAAATAAGATGGAATGATTGACTGTATCGAAAGCTTTCGAGAGATCTAAAAAGACACCAACCGCTAATTCACCATGATCAATAGCAGATGAAATTTTTTCAAGCAAATCAATCAAGGCAAGCGTCGTAGTGGTTTTTGCTGAAGCCGAACTGGTTATCACAGAGAATATGTAAATTAGTTAAATAATCATACAAGTGATTATAGATGATTCTCTCTAGAAATTTTAAAAAGCTTGGTAGAACCAAGACAGGCCTATAGTTGGTGAATAGTGACTGGTCATCAGCTTTAAACAGTGGTACCGCACGAGCTATTTTCATTTGATCTGGTACAACACCATGAGTGATCAATGAATTTATAATGTGAGCCAGAGGTCCCGAAATTATTTGAATGGATTCCGCTTTCCCGGAAGCAAAAGATTGAGTAATGGTAATAATTTCATCCTCTGTTGTTGGGCTAAAAAAGATTGATTCTCAAAATGATCCAGATAGAAAATCTTTATGTGAAGAGGGAGGAGGCTGTATCTTCTTTGCGAGGTTGGGACCAATACTAGAGAAGTAGCTACAAAACCTATTTGCTACTTCCACTGGATCAGAAATCTCCTGACCGTCTGACTTAAATATTGTATTTAATTGAGGCCTTGGCTTTTTTCTATTTAAGACTTCGTTTAAAATTTTCCAGGTCGCTATTTGATTTAGCATCTTCCAATTTCTTTTCATAATATCGACGCTTAGCCAAACGCAAGGTGTGATTCAATTTGTTCTTGTATCTTTTGTAGAGTGAACAATTGTCGACTGTTGGAACTTGAAGATATTTTTTGTAAAGTTTATTCTTTGTTTTAATTGATTTAAGGTATCAGCCACCCTTCAGGACCGTCCGCGCGCAGATCGCTGTAGCGTTAGTTGTTTTTATAAAAACCCCTATAAACCATATATTTTTTAAAAGTTTAATAATTCCAGATTATGGATTTGAACTAACAAAAACGATTTCCTTAAATGTGTTTCGAAATTGGAACGCTTTGTGTAAAAGTACACGTCTCTATAAATCATGTTCCACTCCCGCCGGAAATAAACGGAAGAAAACAATTAACACCGCATTCGCTTCTCAACACGTTCCACTAAAAAACCGTGTCTCAGATTTTTGACAAGTGCGTTTGTTTTTCTTTTATTTGCAAATGAAGTTGGGGAAAGCAATTAGTCAACACTCCCTGTGGAAAAAAAGCTCTAGCTTTAAAACGAAAAGGAGTATTAAAATTCGCAGACACGGTTTTGTAGAAGAGATATATGGCATCACTCCGGCCAAATTTTAGCCAAATTGATTGAAAGGCTGCCGACTTGGAGTTCAAAACGTACGAGTCGATCGGCAAAATTTGCGTTCGGAGATAAAATAGAAAATACATTTTTGGCGGCATCCTACCTGGAATGAGATTATAACACCTAAATGTTTATTCTGATTGATATCAGAGAGGGATCAATTTTCTCTAACAATAGGACTTTGACAGGTAACATGTAACAGGAACAAACTTTTTATTGCTATCAACATCTTCAACAACAGTTTAATTCTCCGTTGGAAAACTTCCCCTCTTTTACACCACGAGAAGCACTGTTTAATTGTTTCTTGAGCAAAAGTTTTGCCTCTCCTTCGATCCTTTTTGTATGATCCGCCCAGGCGTTTTTGTTGATCGGCGCCAGGCCAAGCAAACTAAAAAGCTCTGAAGCCGCCGAATGTCCACCACCGATTGCTCGAAGGCCAAGAACTGAGGCCCGGTTTATTTCAAACGCTCTGCTCTTCTCGGAAGAATTAAAAACAGAATTTGTCTTGTGCGACGGACAGCTTTCATTCTCGCACTGGATTCTCCAGGTAGAACCAAGTCCATGCTACATTTTCCATGACTTGGACTCTTCCCTGGCAAAATAGACAAGATACAGATTCGTCCAGTTTCTCAAGCAGCTTTTCGCTCGATACGATAGCTCGACCGCTTATTGTTTTCCACGTTCCATCAGCAGACGGGGTCGATGAGCTTAATTGGCTTTCTTCATCTGGCTCTTCAAGCTGGATTTTGGAGCGGCTTGCACTCTCAGCAACTGCGGCGTTTTCGCTTTTCTGAATATCCAACTCCTCGAGCCACTTCTCTTGCTGATAAAATGAGCCTTTGTCGCTCTCTGCCAAGTTTGCGGCCCATTCTTTGGCAAACTCGCTCTTCGATTTCTTTTTCGCTCTCGGTTCGATGACGAAAACGGACACGACCTTTTCTTTTTTCACCGAAGCAAACGCTAAATATCCACGGAGCATACTAAAGGCTATAAACATTGCGAAGACAATTCGCACGTGTTGTGTCGAAGCACGCACTCGGTATCACGCTACTAGTTCACAGACAAGTTAATTGATATATGACACGGGTATGACAGATCTTGTCAACGATCAATTAAGATAATTAACGAGAAAAAATCTTTTACCCCCGATATCTTTCGACAGAAATAATATTTTCTTCTGATTTTTTTTTTAAAGAAGGTTCTCAAGCATATCTATTTGAAAACGTTGAAACCTCAAAAATGGAAAAATGGCAATTTTAAGGGTGGCTGATACCTGAGCAGAGCTTTCGTTTTTAACCACGGTTTTTTAAAGCGCCTCTGCTTTCTAGTTGCCTTCTTGAGAGGGAAACAATCGTTATAAATCTTTGTATACATTTCATGAAATCGTTTGTACGCAATATCTGGCTCATCACAAGTTTTAATCGAAGACCAATCAACAACTTCTAGTTTTTCAACAAAAGTAGGAATATTATTCGGATTCTTATCTCTAATAAAGAAGGGGTCTTGTCGACATCGATTTACCGACGTGTTAACGTTATCTGAATAAATTGAGAAGACGGGTAGATAGTTTCTCAATGGAGTCCACATTTTATGCAGGGCCTTATTACAAGAGCTCATTTTGAATAAAACAGGGTTATAAATATGAATATTGGAACTGCGAACGTTGCAAGTAGTAGACTTATCGTTCTAGAAAAAGAATTGTGAGGTAAAAACAAATGACAGTTACATGTCAACGTTCCGAGTAACTTCCATCCATTAAACCCCTTTGGATTTAATAACAATCAAAAATTAAAAAGTGTACATCTCCAAGTAAAATAAAAAGGTACGTAGAGTGTTACAACTGCCAAAGAAAGAAGACTACAGCTAAGGTGGTTTTAACTCCGATAATCTATAATCCTACTCTCAAGCTATATATATAGTTAAGCAAAATCCAGGAGAATTCTCAATGTAGTCGGGATAGCGTTTTTTTGCTTGTAGCTTATTCCTCTCACAAGGCAATCGGCAATTTAAAAAGTTGCAACAGTCAACACATTGACATACAGTAGAACCTCGATAACTCGAACTCCCGTTAACTCATACCATTTCCCTTGGATTTCACCCCACCTGTGTAAACTCGAACTCGGATAACTCGAATTCCTCGCTAACTCGAACTAAACTTCCTTTCAAGTTACACGGGAATTTACCCCGATAACTCGAATTCTGGTTCTTGTAACTCCACTCGGATGCCATTTCATTAGCTCTTCTTGTTTTATAATTGGTAAAACCAGTAAAATTTACACTACAGCAATTTGATTTTGATTGGTGCAACGAACAGATCACGTTTTATCATAAGATGCCCAATCATGTTACCATTTCTGGTGAAATACGAGTTAAATTTGCACTGTACTATACACTGGAGCGCTGGAAAATCAGTAACTGTTATATATTAAGATGGCAAATTTGACACTCAATCGGCCCTTGTAACTCGAACGCCCGCTTTCTCGAACGATTTTTCGTTTCCCTTCAGAGTTCGAGTTAACGGGGTTTTACTGTATTTGGTTGATAAAAAATTAATTTACTATTAATAATTCCGTTTTGGCAAAACCCTTGCTAAGACTTATTTGGTTATTTCTTAGCGGTACAACTCCTTGAAAGCCAAAAGGCATCGCGTTTTCTTCAAAAACTGAGGTTAAAGGAGAGCAAAGAGCACAAAATAAAAAAATTGATAGGCCTATTTTTCTTACTTTCAATGGGCATGAAGCACCCGTCGGAAAATTCACAAAAAGATACTATTTCCAATTTTTGATCTGAGTTAGTTTACCAATGAATATAATGTATCCAAGGTATCAAAAGTGTCAGAAGCTAACAAATACTGCAAGCTCTCGTGCCGAGAAACATCCTGGCCCGGTTTGTTTCTTTTTGTATTCTAGTTTGCATACTACTGAGCGGAGAATTGAATTAGTTAACAATTTTGTATTTTACGAAAAAAGAAGGGTAAATTATCTTCTTTGATAAGAAGGAAGTTTATTAGAAGATAAATAAAATAATCTTTCACATCTTTTTTAAATTAAAATTCAATAGTTTTGAAGTCAGATCTCACAATGTCAGTCCGACTCTTTCTAATTTTCCACAATCAGCTGCACAGTTATCTTTATGCAGTGTCGCCTATTTTCACCTGTATCTAACGAACCTGTGTGGGGGGAGTATTGACGCTTCTCGTTTTGTACCATTTACCTCTGCTTACGTTTAAATTTCAGAGGAGTCTGTTTGTCAAATTTGCTCCTGTCCAGTTTCATGGAAAGGCCAAGTTGTGAAATGCACTGGCAAAAATTTAACTCAACTACCGTCTAGTTTCCCTGCATCAACGAAAATACTGTGAGTATAAAGTTCAGATCAAACGGTCTTAACACTAAAATTTCCTGACAGGCGATGTGGTAACTGTTTGACACCACGTCTTATATTTGTGAGATGTTACGAGGAGTCGTTTAACCTTTGACGCTACATTCCTTTTCCCCTCAAAATTTTCAGGCTGTATAACCTGCTCTCTCATCTTTGTTGTACTCGTGCAGGCGCCGTGTAATCAAGTTTCTGTTATCATTAAAAAGTGATCATGTCATCGCGCCAGATGAGGGAATGTTGTGGCCATTTCAGTCTGAAATGAAAGTTGTAATCATGTTGTCACCGCAGCTAGTCGTGCATGGGCTGCTTTGGCTGGGTGTGTCAAAATGGAAAGTAGCTTGAACGTTAATGGATTTTTCTGGGTGTGAAACTGCCTCTCTTGAACCGTGTGTATAATCTTTTGTACTATAACCCTGTTTACTTAGACATTGCAGTCAAGCCAGGTTAAGCGTACCCCCCAAAAATCCATTAGTGAATTTATTATTCGAAAGTTGAATCCGTTGGTAGTTTAAGATTTCAGGTGTATCTCTGCATTCCTGTAGGCGTAATAAGCAGTGAATTCACACGCGAGGTCGTTATGAAATTTCTGGTTGCTCAGTTTTCCTGAATTTGATATGAATGCTGTCAAAGCTATTTTATACATTCAAAGATTTTCCATCTGACCATATACTGAGAAGTTGCAGTCAAAAATTCACTGCTGGTTATTACGCATGCGGCAATATATAATGCAAATTTAAATTTGATGATGGTCGTATCAACGACTAACGGATTCATTTTTTTAATTAATCGATTCATTGATGGAATGTAGGAGTTATGCCCTAACTCCGACTCTTCTCTGCAAAATTCCGATGTGAGTAATTCAGTTAGTTGGTCCCTGTACGAATTTCTCTCGGGGAAGTTAAAGAAGAAACTAATAGCCTTGCCGTTCTAAACTATAGAAACCATCTTGCCTTTAACAACAGAATAAAAGAGAATTCCAAAGCTTTTCTTTTTATTTGTAGATACTTAGACCAAAACAACCTGACTAGAATCTCAAGAGGAGCCTTCTTGAACTTGCGGAACCTAACCTACCTGTGAGCAATTCATTTGTTTCTCTATTCTGGTGAAGACGATTTAATATATTCAATATATTGATATGGCTATTTTGATCAAACGCATTCTTCACAGGAACCTTGGACTTAACAACATAAAATATGTTGAGAATGGAAGTTTCAAAAGTCTTAGCATCTTGGAAGACCTGTAAGTAACCGGGCAGGTGAAATGTATAATCATGGCATGGCCCTTAAGTAATACATCTCAGGGGCAGACGGGTTGATTTAAACCCGTTGCCTCCAGGGTAAAACCAATAGAGCTACCGTAGACCATTTAAACATGGAGTCTTTCTATTCTTAATACCCGCACAGGAAGTTTTCGACATTCTAGTGGTAGAGCGCGTGTCACAAATAAAATAGAAAACGTCCAGTGAACCTCAGCCTTCTCTTACTAACAAAACATTTGACCACTTCACCGCTCAGTCCAAAGCATGCCTATGACAGTCCGTCTACTTTTGAGTCAGAGTCAGTTATAATCCCAGTCCTCATTGACCAAACATACTTTACCACACCTGTCAATGAGACTAAAAGTGTTTCTTTTTTTTCGATAGGAAAAACTATATGCCACTAAGTTATCGACGTTGATTTTTGCCAATTTAAACAAATGACAACTAATGAGATTCCTAGGCAAGAATCAGTTTCTTTAAATCCCCTTTATTTCAATCAATCATCCTAGTGGCAATTGTGACAGTCATGGCGGCGATGATTTTCGCATGTATCCTTTATTGTGATGACAATCACTGATGATGGTTATGATTTAATAAATCTTTAGGTACCTTCACGATAATAGCATTGAAAGCCTTACTCCTGGAGTATTTGATGGCCTGGAATCTTTGACAGACTTGTATGTGTATTCTAATATAGTGCACTGGTAGTTAAGTGATGTTCGTTGTCACTGTAATTTTTCACCATTAAAGCACACAACAAGCAGAGTTGCTTGTCTGGATAAATTTGAACGATTATATTTTACTCCTCTTTGATAGATTCTACGACTATTTCTAAAATTTTCCCGGGGACATTCTGGGTCTGTGATACAAATTTGTCTTCATATTTAACATCTCATGGCAATTCTAAGTTATTAAACCAGCTGGTTTTCTAACTTAGACCGTGAACTGCCGAATCAAAGTCAATAGTTATCTACACCTTACAAACTCTTACTGGCGAACTCAACCAAAACTGACAAAAATAACTGGAGTAACCGGGCAAACCAACAATTTGATTAACAATAACGACCGTTATTACTATAACAAAAGAGGCATAGAAACCCACCACAAATATGAAAGAGTCTTCATAGCCAATAACATAACGGTTTAACTGACATACGACCAATAACCAATCAGGTCAATATAGTTGAGTATCATCAACTGAAGATGTGATAGCCTGAGAAAATTCCCCACATTTCTCGAAGCTACCACTGGTTTACGCGCGAAATGACGTTTTAGAAACGAACGCAGAAATTCCATACTGATGACGCGTCACTACCCAGATCTGGGTAGTGACGCGTAATCCTACCACATAGGTACCACCGGGATAACTTTTGATTTCGTATCACGTTTACATAATGACTAGGTCCTTTTATATCTCGTTATTTGAAGATATACTTCATGTTGTTAAAATAAACGTGATTCAAAATCGCAAACATTACGCATGCGCTACCCGTTCCAGTCTACCAGCAGACCGATTGTCGTTTCCCGTTTAGATGATACCGTTGCGAGATTTCGTACTGGAGTGAAATTCTCGCCCCGTTGCAGCAACCGGGGTGAACTCACGCCGGGGTGACTCGCGCCGGCATGACGTTTTGTGGTGGTATCATGTAAACAAATATAGAGCCATGAGAGGGAACCGGAGTGAACTAGCACCGGCACGAAAGTCGCCCCGGTGTCATGTAAACACCCCTAGCAAAAAGCTAATTTGTTTTGCGCGGAAGTGAATACCACCTATCCAAACGTAACGAGATGGAAGATGGCGGCAGTGAAACACAGATGCCAGATCAATATCAGAATAAGGTGGTCGATCGAAGGGAGCTTATGAAAAGTTGAACAGGCAATTGTTCTGGCCACAACGAAGCTCAGCGATTTAAGAATATGTCAAAAGAAATCATCAATAGTGGATGTTAGATGTTATGTTGTGCTTTATCTTCGCATACCCCATGGACAAGAAAATAAGCGTCGTACCGTTCCTGGCAGGATGCGGTACTTGATCGGAGGCGCTGTGTTTCCGATCAAAGGCGGCGCTCTTTCTAGAGACTACTGTATCTGTTTAGTTTCTAAAATAGCCGTATTTGTCTACAGGTTTTCTTTTTGTTAGTCCTCCACTGACTTTTATTACTTCCAAAACAGGATGCTTCAGAATAACAAGATTTCAGAGCTTCTTAATGGCACCTTCCGTGGCGTAAATTCTTTGGTTAAATTGTGAGTATTGTTGTGGAGTATTCTAGGAGTTATTTTTAAGACAGGTCTCTGTTATCTTTTAAGTTTAGTTTTTGTTTCATTAAGTCTTGTTTTTATCCACGTACTGTTTTCCTGTTTTGATCTTTTATTTTTACTTGTACTTGAATTCATGCTTAGCTCGCGAATTTGTTTATTGCCATATTAGGAATGTTATTCGCTTGGCATTGTCAGATGTTAGTTTTTAACAGGTGGTCGTGTTTGTGGTGTTAGAGCTGACCTTCGTTCTTTGGTACTTATCAGTTGCGACTGTGCGAAGGCTAGTCTATTCCCTAACAATAGCAAACCTGTTACAATGTTAGCGATAAGGTATACAATGGAAAATCTTCCGGTCAGCTAACCCAAACATGTCCAGCTTTGGCTATTAAAACCGCTACTATACTTGAACTAGTTAGACGTAAGAGTAAAGAGGAGAAGTAGAGTAAAAGTAGAGAAGAGAGAGAAGAATAAAAGCAAGATGTAAATCAGATTCCTGGTACCTCTTCGTGTAGCGAGCGAGTTGCTCGAACACGCCCCCACAGTATTATAATGTACATTTGTAATAGAGTTTTCCGATTTAGTGGAAACTCCTTTTGTTCGGAAATATGTTTTCTGTCTGTCAAAATTTCCTAGTTTAATGCCCTTGTGACGCTTGCTGAAATAAAGCCGGCATGTGGATTTCTTTCAAACCGTCGAAAGCATTTTGTTAAAAGATTTATAGCGTAAGATGTACATTTAATGTAAAATCATTGGACGTCTAGCGAATTAAACACGTTAGAAAATTATAACGTTTAACATCACTGGAATGCTAATTTCAACAACAAAAAAGGAGAAAAAGCGAGAGAGGCATTTTGATATAAGCCATCATCTGATTAAAAACCGTTTGTCCATAACGCCCTGGTCGATCGTGTGAAACAACTGAAAGGAGGTGCTTGCTTTGGTTTGTTTTCATTGTTCTGCTCCAGCTGTGCACTCGTATTGTTTACATAAAAATGGCGGCAGGGCATTTTTCATTTCCAATAAATCGGAAAACACTAATTGAAACACTTCTAACGCCATGTTTTCTGCTTAACATTTTTCATTAAAACTGCCTTACAGTTTTATTATACACAAATTGTGCGTTTTTAAGTTGTATAAATACCTTATGAAACAATTGTTACATTTGCTTCACTAGATTAAAACAGCACATAATTTGCGCGAAAAATTCAGAAAATTCATCCATTTTCCATGAGATGAATTCTTGGAATGGTTGATCTTCTGAGAAGATAACCATGTCACAGTCAGCGCCTAAAGAACTGAAGACTTTCCATTGCTCTTTGCTGAAAACAGTAGTTAAATGTACCAAACAAAAATACAAAAACAAAAACGATGGCCCCCTTTTTCGCTCGTATAATCTACGGTTTCGAGCCACACTATATCGCCTTGAGGTGCCAATGCATGAATTCTGATAAGAAAAAACGTTTCTTGTGCGAGCAAGACGTGAAAAAATGAGATAATATATACAACCTTTTGACCTGTTCCAGGCATTCAGATAATAGTGAGAGAAGCGAAAAGAAATAATATTGAGGGAATTGCATTGCTCCCTACAATCATAGCGCCTGGAACAGCTAAACTATTTCGTGCCTCGCTATCAAAGTACCTCATCCTTTGTATGCTGAACAAGAAAGCAATAGACAATACATACACTGTAAATATCGGCGGTAATCACTAAAACGTCTATTTTCGTTTACCGATTCCCTTTACAGATATCTCCAGTATAACAACATTACTTTCATACAAGAAGGATGTTTCGAAAATCTTCTGACACTACAAACTCTGTAAGTTACTAATATACAGTTAATGTCAGATCCCAAGGTTTCGTCTCGGGAAAACAAAACTAACTGGTTTCCCGAGGGACCTGACATTAAGTGTTTTGTTATATTTCTAGACTTTCACTTCAACAGCAACAAAAGAATAACCGGAGCGAACCAAAACAGTCGACTCGGTACTTATAACAACACAAATTTAATTCTCAAAACCACTGAATGAATGATTTACGAACAAAAGTACTTTCCTTATATTATCTGCATCTTTTTCCTCCACTAGCTGCTGTTTTTCGTCTGGGAACTTCTGGGATAATTTTAAAAATCGTTGCTTTTTAGCTTGAGGCTTCGTGTTTGTGTTGTTGTGTTCATTCACGAAAAAGAAAACTGGCAGGACCTGGCGGTGTATTTCCCGCCTTCTGTCACGCCACTTTCCACCATGCTTTGAAAACGTGCTACAATGTATCCCGAGCGGGATACATTTGATTTTAGTCAAGGCCACGTGACCAAGAATCAACTAATGGCAGTCCCTGTTTAGTTAAGTGAAAGTCTAGGAATATAACAAACTGTTTTACTTTCCCTAAAACAAGCAAAATACTAATTATTATAATATTAACAATCAAAAAAATTTAATCAGGCTTATAATATAAATTGTAACGAATATTATTTTTTGAAGATTAGCAAAAGTACTGTGAATAACACATAGCTTGAAGGAAAATTTCTCTTGGTACACATTAAATTAAATCGCAGCAAGTGTGCAGGTCTCTTGCTGGTTTCAGACCAACACCCGCCCCCCTTCACTTCTCTTCAATATTGCAGATTAATTTATTTTGGAAGATTCATAGAATAAACCGTTTAACAAGGAAAAAGTAGCCATGGAATCGAAGTTGACTGAGCTTACTTCCAGGCTTAATCAGACTACTTGCTTTTCTCAATTTTAAGAAAGATTAATTTTTCATGCGCCTTTTTGGCAAATGCTCTGGGTCGCTACTCTGGAGTTACGTTAATAGCTTTTCATTTACTTTTATTTGATTACCTAAATTCAGAAAGCTCCAAGAAAACCATTTGAAGAAAGTTTATTGGGGACTATTTCATGGATTGAATAACATGAAATACTTGTAAGTAGCAATAGGTTTGCAATAGAAAACATGTTATGTACCTAACAAACAGGGTATCACAACAGTTAGTTTCCTTACATAAGTAAGTCATTCAGCGTATTAGAATGATTTTATTTGACCCGAATAGTTGACGGACTTAATGCCAAATAGTTGGAAGTTAAAAAAAGGGAAAAAAACAACGTAATAATGCGTAACGCTCCACTGTCAAATTCCAGAGTTAAGTAAAATCACTCTTAAAGGCACTTAATCAATCATTTGTGAGGTAAAGGGTTGCGACGTTTCGACCGCGTACCGCAGGTCTCAATCAGGTGATAGTGTCGATTACTGAGTAGGACTATCTGTACCACAGTCACTGTATCTCGAACAACGCTCACGGTTAGTGGGTTTCGATCCAACGCATTGATGTCATTATTAGAGGAGGAAACTGTTCATTCAGTGTCCACTGTGGTAGTGATGACCTGTTGTGTTGTCTGATCGTAGGCATCTATGCTTTAGGGAATTGAGATTCCACTGTCCCTAGGCCTCTTGATGTTGTTAGAGTGAAGTCTTATGTGAATATCCTCTTTAACTCTACGAGAGTATCATACGTTGTGGTTCTCGGTGAGTAAACCAAACCTCGTCCCAAAGCGAATGATGCCGGTCTCAGAACAGACTGAAGCTTAAGTACGTGAAAGCTGTATATCCCTATCGTGCTCAGTTCATGCGTGCTCCGTCCCTTTTCTCCAGAGTATACTTTTCCGCCTTGGCAAGGAATCTTAAACACTACTCCATCCTGATGTGCTGGGCAACGACGAAGTGGTTTTCGGCTGTAGGTTCTTTATCGACTTTATCAGGTGCCTGATTTTAGATTTCGTAATGTTAGGTACAAACCCTACGGGTATCCGTTAGTGACAAGAACAGGGAATAAATGCTTCTTTTCCTCAGAGATCACTGATGGCTTAGTTATGATAGATTACGGTCAATCGTATGAGCACTTGACAACACATATGTGAGATTTTTATTTCACTCCTTTTTCTTTAGGGATCTTCATACTAACAGCATCCAAACTATAACACCTGGTGGATTTGAGAACCTGGAATATCTATCAGAATTGTAAGCTATTCGTATAAGCCCGTTTTATATGTTAGCCTAAATTCTACACTTTCTTTTAGCAATGGCTTTAAAGGGACTGTTAGAGGGCGAACGTCTGTCATGACAATCATCTTAAGAATGCACGCCATTAGTATGGCATGTAACGTATTACAAGACACCCAATCAGTTACAAGTCATTATTTCCCGTTTTCTTTGGGGATCTTCATAATAACAACGTCGTAAGTTGCACCAGGAGGATGCTATTCACAATTGCGAATGTTTATCTTTTTAGGGATCTTCGCGGAAACAACATCCAAAGCATAACACCTGGTGGATTTAAAGGCCTGAAGCATTTGGAAAAATTGTTAGCTATCTCTTAAATCCCCCTAAACTTAATTCCATTTTTACTCGCGTTCATCTATCCCGCTAACAGTGATTCCTCAGTTAAATTAGCCAAGAGGGGCGAGAGCACTTCGGGGAGGCGGCATAACAATTTACGTTACTTTGTATTACGCCGATTAATTTGGCCCCATGGCCCCAGGCAAACCCCGAGCATATATGGCCATCATTTTTGCCAAGGGAATGGGAAATTTGACCATTGCCTGGGTGGGGTGGGGAAATTGAACCAGGCGAAAATGTTAAGTTTAAAGTCTTTGGATCCCGGTCTGACAACGTGGTTTGATAGATGGAAGCTAATTTTATTCATTCTTTTACTCACCTTACGACCTTCTTCTGAGACATTTCTTAAAAAAAAATTAAAAGAAAAAGAACTTTTCACATAATTTAGCCATGGAAGAACAATTTAACCAAACATTCGATTGAAAACAAAACTTTCCATTTTTGAAGCATTTTTGTAGTTTTGTTTGTTTTTTAAACCACTCTTGGAGTGGATGTTAGCATTACACGAACATGGCCTAGGCACTGACAAATAACCAGGTACATCCTACGTTCCTTATAAAATTTATAATTTCAAACACCTTCTTCACTTTCGCGCTTTATGGTTTTCTCTTAAAATATTATTTTTTATTTAATTAGAATGCTAGACAACAACAAGATTTCAGAGCTCTTAAATGGAACATTTAGTGGTTTGGATCGTTTAAATTACCTGTAAGTATGAAAGAGCCTTCGAAAGTACTTATATAAATATCCTGGGGATTCCTTGACTCTTGAAGCTTTTGGTGAATCAGTTGTATTACAATGAAAACTTGCCATTACACTGCTCTAGGGACGTACGAAAATAGCCGTTTAACACAGATACTGAAATGTTAAGTGGGCGTGGAAAATTTTTCAGTCTAGAATAGCGTATCAACGCAGCAACAGCTCCTCTATCAAATTATTATGATGATCAAAAATAGTAGTTTTATTAAATAAGTTGATGACCAAGGTAAATAAATTTAAAAGCTATCTTCTCGGGAGTCAGAGCGAATCGGGTTTTTGGGATCTTTGTTTGAACGAAAGCTAAGAGCATTGAGATCAATAAGTATAAAACGTTGTGTCCGATTATGACAAATGTAAGGCCCAATTCTCTATCAAAACTGATTGTTTTTTCAAGGTTTTTTTCCAACCGATTTGGTTCCTAATATAACTTCGATGATCCCAACCCTTTTTTCCAGCCGCAGTTGGCATGTATATGATTTTTTTCATGATATTCTGTTTACATTATATGCAATAATCATCTTTTATAATATACTTTACATATTTAACTTACTTTTAATCCGTTGTCTTAGGTCTTTAATTAATAACAGAATTCAGCGCATTGCACCAGGAACATTTGAGGATTTAAAGGCCCTAAGATCTCTGTATGTGTAAGATAATATCTAGATTTAGCCAGGGCTAAAAGTGAACCTCTCGATAATTTTTATAGTTTGCTCAAACAAAATATAAAATCGTATAATGCTAAGCGGCGAAGGCAACGAGAACGGTAAAAAGAAACAATAGGTCTAATTAGCAAAAAAGCAACTTTGCACGTACAGCACACTTTTTTTACATTTCTTTGCTGTTGTTTTGCACGACTGTTACGTGAAACTTCCAGAAACTTCCTAGTTGCACGTTTTATGGAGGGAATGTCGGACGTGTTCTTGTTCACTCTTTTTTTCACTGTCGCTCATTTTCACCCTGGTGACCGCTAGCATCTCGCCGCTGCAAAATTTCATATTGTTCCTCCAACAGAAAATGTCTCCTTTTGTTTTTTCTCTCTCGCTCTAGCTCACTTTCTCGTTGAGCTTCGCTTGCCTGTCGCCCTGATTTCTCTTTGTCTCTGTCTTTCTCTTTCTCTATATTCCAAATTTGTGGACATGACAATTAATCTAAACTTAATACTTAAAAAAAAACACGGATACAGAAACATTTTCCGCTTTCCGTTCTCGTCTTTATTGACTCTTAAGTTGTGTTTGCTTCACAAGACGCGGGAGGCCATACGCTTTCCCGCCAAAATAACCTGACATTTGGCATCGGCTTACATGTAGTGGGTGTACGGACGGTCGTTCGTACGCTACGTCATAACCAAATTTTCTCGGATAGATAGTTGAGCAAATTTTCTTACCCATGGTACTCCACGGGCGCGCTTAGTGCACGAGAGCTCCACTAAAAATGATCAAACTTATATAATACATTGCATTTACGAGATACCATGTGTCTGTTATTTACTATAGGCAAGGTTTACTGGGCTGTTCAGTTTGCAAGGTCTCGCCTACTCTGTTTCCTCTCTAAGCGTTCGATCAATATAAGATTCTTGGAAACTGCTCACCTACCAATGAGGTTTAAACTCACAATGGTTCTTTACATTTTTTTACTTGTAAATTTTTGTTGACCATATATTCTTGTCCCTTGAAGGTCGCTAAATAAAAATAACATCACAGAAATACGCAGTCTTACGTTTAAAGGACTACGATATGTTAAAAAAATGTAAGTTGATAAGGATGTCTTATACACCTCCTTTATTTGTTCATTCTCTTAGAATTTCTCAGGTTTTAGCATGGCCTTAATCGTTGCTTTTGACTTTAAATGAAGACTGTGTGTCTGTTCAGTCACTCTTAAACTGAGGTTGTATCTTTTCACCAGACTTCTGGAGAACAACAACATTACGACTGTGGAACCAGGAGCCTTTCATAGCTTCAGTAAATCCAGGTTTTTTAATCACTTGTGAGTATTTAGTTTTCTTTTGTATAACTGTGAAAGGTTTTACCTTTTCATTCAACTAATTGATTAATACGGGCGATGAGCGTTGGTCATGTCTTTAGGAGTTTTGAGGGGATGCAAAAGAAAAGAGAAGGAAGGGTTCCGTTACTATAGCAGCCCTTATGGTAGCACTGAGGGCACATGTTGTAAACTGCGTTTTACGCAGTTTGGTTTTCTAGACAGCTCCAAAAAACCTGGTATTGCAGTAGTCTTTTTTTTTATCCGTCTGTCCTACGCAACACTATGGGACCCTCTTTAGTCAGGCTGACAATGGGTGATACATATCATATCGGGTTTGGAAATCTTAACTACTTTGGTAAATCTTGACTTATCCAGGATACCGCGCATGCTTTGCAAGTGGAAAGTGTTGAGTCGTGTCTCTTGTTTGGCATAGTCGACTCCCGATAACTCGAACCTTGTAGGGAAATTGAAAAAAGTTCGAGTTATCGAGAGTTTCAAGCAAAAAACCGAAAATGAGGCAATAAGCAAATGGATAAGGAGAGAATGCAAGTATCATGCACACTTAATGTAGTTGTTCTCCCAGGGCAGCAAGAGATATAGACTAATATTTTGCAGAACGAATAAAGCAACAAAGCTTGTTTAATATAAACGGATGGGCACTGAATTTGAACTGGAGTGACATAAAAGTAAAGACAAAGACTTAAAACTGTTATTTATAAATAAACTCAATGTTTCGGACTTCAGAGCACTGTTTTTTTGTACTTGTAACGCGCTTAAAACTTGGTTCGAGTTATCGAGAGTAAAATGATATAGAAATCATCTGAAGGGAAACAAAAATTACTTCGAGTTAGCGGAAGGTTCGAGTAATCGAGGGTGCGAGTTATCGAGGGTAAAATTACAGTAAAAGTATGAAGAGATTCCAAGGGAAATCGACTTTGGTTCGAGTTAGCGCGAGGATCGAGTTAGGGAGTGTTTGAGTTATCGGGAGTCAACTCTATTTAATCTACGTCTCGCTGTCGAGGAACCGTTTGGTGATATCACAGACGTTATTTGATGACATTTTTGTTTTCACTATCAGCTTAGGGTTTGCCAAATATAGGGAAAATGGTCTATCGGTGACTGCAGTTCCTAATGCCTGAAGGTCGTAACTACGTACTGCTTTGTGAGGCAAAGGTGTAGATGGTCTTGCTTAGTTCTTTAATCCTAGTTTCGGGGTCTGGCTCATCATGATCACCATATGGTCTGCAGACAGTCAATAGCGTGTAGGATCGAGTGGGGTTATTTCTCTTCCTCCAGATTTTTGAAAGGCTTGCTAAAAATGAGTCTGATATCGCGGCTATCATCCATGTTTCCTAAAGTCCAGCTATGTCCGCGTTCAGTTTCTCGAGCTCCTAGTTTTTTTACAGAGTTTTTAGAGTTGTTGTTATCCTAAAGGGTATTAGGAATGCCGGCGAGTTTTTGTTTTCTTCCAGTCTTCACTTTTTCTGAGTTCTTTTCTTACTTTGTGCGATGGTTACAGTAAGCTGCTCCTCATACACCTGAGGAAAATAAAGAAACTGACTGTGGTGGGAGAGCTCCTTACTGGCTGGGGGCTTCCAAGCCTAAGCAGATGATGGCTCTTCAGAGAGATCTGAGAATCTTTTGAATGCAGCACGTGGCGTCGAACTTTTCATTAATCGAGTGGTTGCTCGTAACCGGTTACTGCTACTCCCCACGTCTTTTCAACGCCGCCGTCGGTGAGGTGGGAGCTATGCTTTCCAGCTCAGTGATAACAAGGGCTTAGCAGTGTTGCATGAAGGAAAGGCTGTTGCCATGTAGCATGTACCCTCTCCGCTACGTCCTCAATGTACTGTATCACAAGACAGCCAGACTGAAACTAACCTCGTGGTTTAATATATCCCAAGATATTTAGGGTATTTTCATGATAGGATACGTGACATCTCCCCTTTTTAAAACAACAAAGAAGCTGCTGTGGTAAACTGTAAACAACTACATGCAAAATTTAAAAAAGCTTAATCATAGAAAGCAAATGAACCCATTGTCAACATCCTTAACTTGACAGTTCATAAAAGTTCACAGTTCAGGCATAGTCTTAGTCCCGACCTCAGCGATCACGATCCTTTGCTACTCCTGGTTTACAAGGTCTGCTTTGGATACCGGTTGGAGTAGTACTAGTGGCTTTCTAAAGTCATGAGGTCTGTGTTGCATCAGTCTATTTGTTCTTTGCTTGTGAAGCTCTCTTGCGGAGGAGACGACAATTCCTTTGGTAGAATTTACCATCTACCATTTTCCAAAGATCTTACTGTGTGATGCTTGCTTACAACAGTAGCTTGGGTCCATTCATTCTCATGATACATGAATTAAGGAGGTAACTCCTTGTTGCTTCGTTGGTCATAAGAAAATCTCTCTGTCCTGCTGAAAGCGCTGCTGAATTTCTTGTGATCCTTGGGTTTTAAGGAAATTGACCTTTGTTAGTAGGGACGTTTTTAACTTTAGACCCATGAGCGTCTCAGCAGGGGAAAGGCTTATACCATCCAAAAGAGTGTTTCTATTGTTCAGCAGTACCTTGGAAGGATCTTGTGCTGTCTTGAGAGGATTCTTGATGTTTTTAACTGCTCTTTCAACTTCCCCATTCGCTTCAATTTATCTTAAAGGTCAAATGAACCAAAAAATTGAAATATTTTCTTTTGTCGCTTTACCGTCACCAAACACTAAAAAGAACCATCCTAAGTGATATTTGGGTAAAGATTTTTCTTCCCAAGCCTTTATAGAAAGATAAAAGATCAAAATCCGAGCATTTCCGAGTACTTCACGAAAACGTTTCTGAAATGCCCGCGTGATAGACTGGAGACTACGTGACGTCAATGTTGGTCTTTCAGGGCGGAAAAACGTTCTGCGCAAGCTTCTGCGCAGCCCTCATCGCCTGCGTTTGTTTGTCTCGTTCTGTGAGAGTTCTGACTGAGACTGAATGAAATACACAAGGTGCGAACGTTTGCTCCTTCTAAAGGCTTTTTTTTTTGTTTTTGTTTTTGTTGTTGTTGTTGTTTTTTCGTCACTTGAAAATTACTTTGGATTCAGAACAACCAATGTTAGAGTAAAAACAGATCATTCCGTCAGTCTGCGGAGTAATAAAACGTTTTGAACATTTCAAAAGAGATTTGTACTTTTCTATAATTGTGCATTCGATTTATGAATTGATTTTGTGTCCAGTGCTTCGCCTTCTTTCGCCGGGCTGAATTAAACTGACCCGCTTGTATTCAGTTATTAGTAGTTACGGTTAGTTTTTTTACATGCCCAGATTCATTTACCATTCCAGAACCAGCTTTATCCTAGTCTTAATGTCAAAGAACCGTAATGCTAACGTTTGCGAGTCAACAAAATTGAGCGCTCAAAACTTCCTCGGAAATATAAGGCTAGCAAGCTTATTCGAGAAGAAGAGACTACTTCCATCACTTTTCTGTTGCTCAAGTAATAATAGTCAGAGTATTTTTTTTTCTTTTTTCATTTTTAATTACGTAGTTTTGTTTTCTCTCTGTACGCAAATTTTCCTTTTCACTCGCTGTGAAGTAGCTGAGAACGACAACTGCCGGCAGTGGCTTCAAAACAATTAACTCTTTGCCCGAAAACAATTGCTGGAGCTGGATTTGACTGAAGCGAGCAAAACAACCCTTATGTGCAATTTTTGTACTTTCTAATGATTCAGTTTGCTGAGTTTAATTTGCTTGAATGAAGACCCTCGCATGGACCAGTTTTTAAAAATAGCTAAATGGTGAATCATGGCTTGGGTGCGAAGCTTGCAACTGATCTTTTGCTTTTAAGATCTTTAGTTAGGTTATTTCGCACAGAAAATTCACTTCTTCATTGTCAGCAGGTATAAGAGCCTTAAGCCTTATTGTTTTTTGAGTGGAAATTTGTTGTTTTGCAACCTTATTGAAGGTTTTTTTAGTTCACTTAAGCTGAATTTTTTGTATGATGGAATTGTTCTTTGCTTGTCGCCTCTCTCTGCGAGCTTAAAGTGGCGTCTATGGTCCTTAAAGTGACCTCAGTCGGTAATTAAATCATATACATAAGTGGAGAGAAGTTTTTGCAATAATGCAACTTCAACTTTGTTTGAAGGAAATCTTACTTGGTTTTTGAGAAGTGTTATGTATGTTCAACTTGACAACACAAAGCAAACTTTATCTGCGCGAAACGATCAAGTTTAAAAAAACTGTAGTTGCTTTGAAACCGATTTTGGGGAAGATTTTGCTAGATAAAGATTAACTGTTTTTCTTCCCACATATCAACGCCAAAACTTCTACATGGAGGATTTTGTTTATATTTTAGTGTTCTGCGAAGCACAAGTGTCCGATCGAGCGTGGGTTTTAAAATATCAGCTCCAGTGCGACAAAGTTCAATGACTTCAAACACATTGTGGGCAAGCGTGAATTTCTTTGGGCAAATCACTATGCAAGGATGTTTTGTTTTTGTGTCCACAGTCGAGCTCCGGACCTTATATATCGAGAAACGTCTTTATATGAACACATTTTGTGAATAAATCTTGAAAAGAATTGGACCTACGCACGCAAATTTCCAGTACAGCGCAAGGAAATTAATGCCGTCGTTAAAGTCCGTTTTCAGTATGATGTATTTTCCGAGAGAATTAAATAATAAGGTTATAACCACAGCTGCAACTTTTGAAGACAAATTGCTTGTTCTTTCTAGGTTTATGGCCGCACAAGCCACCACAATGTCTGCGCCAAGTCGACTCGAAAAACACTGTTTTGAATTTCCTGCTTTTTTTCACCTGACCAACATTGACGTCACAAGCTGTTTTTACCGACAATTTTTTCTACCGCTCTACGAAGATAAGGGCCAAAAAATAACAATTTTTAATTGCGAATATCTCGGAGATGCTTGCTTCAATTGAGCTGAAACTTCATAGTATGTTTATTCGGTTCATATTAAACATATTTCACCAGAATTGAACTAAAATAAAAAATGTCGAATTTTTGGTTCATTTGACCTTTAAGGTGAGTTAAGTCGGATATGTCGGCGGGCACTTCGCACATGCTGATTTAAACTTAAAACCAATGCTTTGCATTGTAAATTGAAATGAGTCAAGTTAAAAATCAACAGAAGAAAAACCTTAAACTAAAGGTAGAGATTTCAGCGGTAAATAGTGAACTCCAGAAACTGAAATCGATCATCGAGCAACAACGACTTCAAGCGGACACCTCACAGGTAGGAGACGCTGCAACAAGATATGGAAACAGTATCCAAACGAGCGTTGATTTCTTGTGTGAGGACCACCATATAATGAAAAGCTTTCGGGCCGCGAGAATATCTCGAAACAACTTGACAATCTAAGGCATAAGCTTGAAGCGATTTCTACAGGAGTTGACAGTCTGGACGCCGCCATTGATGACTTACTTAAGTACGGCTTTCAGTATAACGTTAAAAGTGTTGGGCTTCCTGAAAGGAACGAGCATGAGTCTGCTGAAGCCACCACGCAGTTGCGTTTGAAACTTTTCTATGCTATCGGAGCCGATGGAGTTTTTGGTCTCTAACATTAAAAATATCTGGTCGACCTGGAAAGGTATTGATATTGGGAAATGCGAAGAAGAGCGGAAAAATCGAAACGAATTAAGTTCATTCGTCGAAACGAGCATTCATGTTCAAGATAATGAAGATAATTATTTGAATGTTATTCATTCATTAGGAATAAGTAATTTTTTATATATACCTCTAGTTGTAATGTTAGTCTATTTTCAAATAACAAAGTCCCTGCACGTGTAATTTACAGGTAACTAGCGAAAACGTATAGTTTTTCTGTCTATATATTATTGTATTTCTTTTCTTTTTTAAAAATATGTTATTTTATATCGCCTTGGTTTAAAGTTTTGTCCTGCCCTGATTAGCCTAATAGCTATTTGCGGGGCGTACAGTATTCTAAAACTTTATCGTTTTGTTAACAAATACGTTAAACGCTTGATGTGGTATAGACAAGACCACAGCTCTTGCTGAAATTAGTAAATACTGAACTAGCATACTGAGACCCATTGTAACCAATAAGCTCATCAGGTATGCTATGTCGAGCAAATTGACTCTTCAGATGACAGATTATATTGCTGCTGATTGAGTTGTCTAGCTTAACAACTTCAATCCACTTCCAATAGTAATCTACATACAGAAGGTAATGAACTCCATTACACTCAAACAAGTCACTTCCACCTTTCGAACATGGTCTGCCAGGGAAGTTTTGAATTATCATTGACTCTCTTGATTGAGTTCTCTGAAACTGGGCACATAAAGAACACTGAGGCACTTTATCTTCAATTTGGGACAACGTCTCTGGCCAAAATCGAATGTCGCTGGCGCGCTGCTTGCATTTCGCTTTATCTTAGTATGACTCCTGGATAGGCTTTTGTGTTTTGAATAATATCCCACCAACGTTTGATATTTCATCTCTGCACCAATACTCGCGGACAACTAATGGTAGCTCTTGTTAGTGACTGGGCCATCCATTTCGAAAAACTGTGCTTAAGGCTTGCGGGGCTGGATCGTCTGCACTAGCTTGCTGGAAGTCACTGTACCTTTCTTGTGAAATGGGAAGGTAGGCTGTAAGCTGCACTTCGTTTACTTCCAAATTTGGGCTGAGGCTTTCTTCACTCTCTTCCAAAAAAAGCTCTGCTCAAAGCATCAGCAACAGAGAGTTCAGATCCGGGTACATATTCCTCTTTTAATTCATAGCGCTACAATGTCAGCATCACCTTCTACAGCCTCAGAGATGGTTCATGTGAGGGCTTGTATAAGATGTATTGCAATGGCTTGCTGTCTACCTCAACTTCTGTTGTTCCTCCTTAGACATACTGACGAAATTTCTGCACTCCATACACAACCGAAAAGGTTTGCTGTTTCAATTTGTGCTTACTGCTGTCGGGTTTGTGTGAAGGCTCATGAAGCATAGGGCAGGTGCTTCTCATCTTGCAAAATGATTGTCCCTAACATTTGGAACTTGCACCTACAGAGATGCATAATTGTTTTCCTGGATCATATTAACAAAGTATTGGTGTTGAGGAGGCCATCTGCTCGAGCGTCTGAAAGCTTTCTTCTTGCTTGCCTTCTACATCTGGGAATAGCTCTGACATACGGTTCTGACACACCTCGAGAGCTGATTTTATTCCAAATGGTAACCTTGTGAACCGGTATCTTCCGAATGGCGTATTGTATGTGCAAAACGTTGGGCTAGCTTCATCTGAGTTCACTTGCCAATATCCAGAAGTGGTGTCAAGGACCGAAAACACTTTTGTTTGAGGCATACCAGTAACAACTTTTTCTACAGTAGTCACTGGAAAGTGTTCCCTTCTAATTGCTTTTTTAAATCTCTCGTTTCAATGTAGATGCGAATCTTGTAAGGCACTTTTACGGCCGCTACCATACTATCCATCCAGTCAGTAGGCTCTTTCTGCTTTACTACTAGTAGTCAAGCTCTTCTTTGATTTTTTTTCTTTGAGCCAAACAGGCACATTTCTTGGTAGATGCTTGATTCAACTTTGATTGTGTGTTAACCTGGAAGGTAACCTAGGCTTCTGAATATTGCTCATAGATGATTTGAGACATTCCCAGTGGAAACTTTGAGAGGTTCTCTTGCTGATATAGGTGTACTCGGGCAAGAAGACCAATGTCTGTGCAGGTTTGGGGAAGAAATACTGTAGGAGCCTCCATTTCAACTACGTTACGTGGACATTTTCATACAACATCATAACTCTGCACTCACAAGGTAATGTCACTACTCCTTTAGTAGGAATTGATAGCCTGAGAATGTTTTAAGTTTCACTTGAGTCGTCTCATAGGACTAGCGAGAAGCAAAATCTTGCATATAACGTTGGAAGACATGAAATTGACTTTAGCACCAATATCTAGTTGGACCTTTACAACTTTGCCTTCAATCTTAAGGTCTTCACACCATTCATTTGTGTCTATATCATTAACTGGGGTGGTTCATCCGACAAAAAAATTCATCATCACTACATTCATCTAGACAGTTCACTTATTCTTATCTGGGTTTTTTGACAGGCAAACGATGGCAAAATGATTGAACTTGTAGCATTTTGAACATGTCTTTCCTTGAGCTGGGCATTTGCCTTTGTCACGTTGATAGCCACATCTGCCACAATCTTTTCCAGAGCGGGTTTTTTGTTCCTTGCCTTTACACTATTTATGCTTAGATTTTCTTCTGCCATGGTTTGCAACTGTGCCTGCGATATTTCTTCAGTTTGGGCAATAGAAATGGCTTTTTATAGGTTCAGGTCTGAGCCTTCGTTAATGAGTTTTTTTCTTTGAAGAATGGCAGCTCATCACAACTCGGTCTCGAGCCATTTCATCGGGGTCAGCATAACCATAAGCTGTTCAAAGGAATCACCGCGTTGTTGCACTCTCAAATGAAATTTACATGTGGCAAACACCTTGTTCGATCTGTGCGTCACTTAGGATTCAAATCTTGTGTATTGCGAATGTGTTCCACACGGTTGGCAGATCGTTTCTCGTCCAATCCATTTTTGGAACAAAATTTCATTCAATGTCGTCTCCTCAGGTCTGACGGAGGTTTTTGCATATCACTGTTGTAGCTCAGCTCCGTGTTTCCTTTGTCGTTTGGAGAAATTCTTTATATTTCAGAACACCATGTTATGTACTGTATCACACGACAGCCAAATTGAATCCTGTCCCAGCATGCTTAGGGTACTTTCATGATATTCATGATAGCAAATATGACAAGGTACAAACGCCTTTGTAGGAGTTACCACTAGTAGGGTGTAACTTATCAAGGCAATGATGTAAAGGTAAAAACTTTAAAAAAAGGTTTCTTGCAACTTTTACTTCAACTACTACTACTACTACTACTACTACTACTACTGGAATATATTAGCTATCACTACTACTTTGGTAATATATAGATTTAGCCAGGGCTAAAAGCGAAGCTCTCATTAATAAATTTATAAATTTACTTTGCAAAATCTTGCCAACAACCTGGGTGCGTGTAAACCAACCTTTTATACTTTTTATACATCACATCTGGGGTAAAACAGTACTATGAGGCGCTGTTTTTATCATACATATCTCAGACAAAATGCAGTATTTCTCAATTTTTCAAGACAAATTGCACTCATTCAATATTCAGAACCATTTGATCATTTGACAGCTGTCAATTGATCACAACATTGATGTGCAATCAGTTTTCTCCTGGGCTCCCTGGGCTCCCTGGGCTCCCAAAATAGCTAGAAAGTGTGAGAGTAAACATTGGCATGCCTGCAGTACGGACTGATGGCAGGTCGGTGTACGGTAACGTGATTACCAAATTTTCGGGGATGGGTAGATTTACTTACCCATGGTACTCCGCTGGCGCGCACGAGGGTTCCGCTACAAAGAAGTCCTCGGGCCGTCGACTTCACTGTGTCCACAAATAGACCATAACTATTCAGGTATGCATCCGTTTTGCCAAGTCCTGTTCTCCAGCATGAAGTCACGAGACACGTACCTCTAGAAGTAAAACGCGAACTCTCTAACCAGAAATGTCCAGGTTTAGTGCAATAGTCCCAGACAGAATCCATGAACATTATGGTTCAATATCTTTTGTTAAGGATAAAAATGGAAAGTTGATTATAAAAGTTCAAATCACAATAAAATAGAATTTAAAAATGCACCGCTCTATGCCAATACGTGACGATCACATTTATTGTTTATTTTTTTATACTTTCCTTTCTTTTTCAATTAAATGTAGGTCGATTGCGAACAACAAGTTGGAGATTATTAAAAATAAGACTTTCTCTGGCCTTAACTATCTATACGAACTGTAAGTGGTGTTTATATATATTTTTTATTGCAATTTCTTTATATTTTTTATTTGAAGAGTAGTACTACTGCTTGTATATATTAGTTACATTGATCTGTAGTGTGAAACGTTTGGCCACTCCTTAAGTAGCAGAAGCTAGTAGTCGCTGTTGTGCTCAGGCTAGCGTTCATCGCTCTGTGCAATGAAATCCTTAACTGAGATCCTTTTTAGTCAAATTTGTAAAGGCAAGTTTATTGGAAATAGATTTTACTTTCCTTTGTTTCAAAATCATTTTCATACGCTACCATACAAACAACGAAAGGCGGTAGATTTCAATCGAGGAAAAAAATTTTAAAAAAAATCAGTAAAATAACCATACTTACTCAAAACCATAAGCAAGCAATACAAGTGAATAAATTGTCCAAATCAGACATGACCCAAACCTTAAAGATACCGCATGTAAAGTTGACTACCCAGCATATTATCTTCACAGTTACATGGATAACAACGACATTCACCGCATCGAGGCTACCGGATTCTACCGAATGAGAAAACTCAGATACTTGTAAGCTATGTTTAAACAAATGGACACGTAAATCGACCACAGTTTACCTGATCAGTATATGCAGGTCCTCAATACTTCTGATTAGCTAGCTTGGAGGAGATAAGCAACCTTCCCTATTCAAAAGAGGAACCAGATGCCTCATTGTTGTTGTTTTCTTATTTCTTTGTACCCATGTTCTTTTCCTTGTCACTAGCGTGACGTTGTTTCCCTTTTTTGTCGTATTCATTATGAAGGCATTGTGGCAGAGTGGTCAGTGCGTCGGACTAGCAATCCGGCGGTCCCGTGTTCGAGTCCCACTCTAGTCGCTTGCTGGATTTGTTCTAGGTCGTTCCGAGTACACATCCTTAGCCATGTTTGTAAATAACTAACTACTTGCCTCCTACCAGTTGGTCTTTCAATACTGTTAGGTTCTATTTGAATTATTCGTTCATAATTATTTACAATAGAAAAATACGCTGAATGTACTTCCCACTATACCAAGCGAAATGAAACAGTCATGGAGATAACAAACTCAAGGTTTAAACAGCAGTTTGACGTGGTTGTTAGAGCTTCCCCCTCCGAATAACTCCAAAATATTACTAACCGTGAAACCTTCATGTGGCAGTCTCTTTCGGAGGCAAATTTAAAAAAATTCTTGGGAGAAAAAGTTTCAATCTGACCAAACCATATTTCAATACTTTTTTGTCAACCACCTCGCGCTTTTGTTAGTCACACCTATGGAAAGGTTGTTTTTTTTTTTATCTGGTCGTAAATTAAATTTCCATGGATGAAAGCAACATAGAATGACATAGAATTTGCTCATTGTGTTATTTAATTAGTTATAATTAATCGTTAGATATTTAAGAGGTAACCGATTGCGATGCATCGCTTATGGAACATTCTACTACACAAAGAATCTTTACAAACTGTAAGTACCAAAATGTATACCTGTTGTGATAGATGAAAAAAAAATTAATCAGTTTACTTTATCTCCTCTATCTCTACCTCAGCTTTCTATAAGCTCCTCATACAAGCTTCAAGGGGTATCTTACTGAAGTAAAATATAGCAGATACGTTAAAATAATTGTAAAGATAAATTTCTCTCTAACTAAAACAGATGAGACAGTTCGATGAGCGTTCATGCTCATTTCATTAACCCACTCCTAGCTCCGTGTCGTTTGGTATTCGATGGGTCGTTGGTTTATATTACATGAAGTGGAAATAGTTACAGAGAGCCTCTCGTCCACACCACAGTTAGATGTGCATTAAAATGTTAAACCCAGTAGACAGTTTGTCAAGAGAATTGTAAATTGTAAATTGTAAATATCTTATTATCCACTCCCCTCAGGGCTTTTCAGGGATAATTTACAACACTAGTTGGGGAACTTTGCTAGACTGCTTAGGTGCAGTTTACAAGTAATGAAAGAACGAGTAATGATGCTCCCATACGTGAGTGTGGAAGTGAGATAAACCACAATACCGGGCACTACGTACCCTATTCTTCACGAAGAGTGTGTGGGCTCCTTTAACGTCCCACAGATTTATTTCATGTGCAAGGGCTTGTGAGACGGGGCCTACGGTTTATCGTTCTTATCGGAGAAGACTAGAAAGTCTAACCGTTTGCATATGTTATTACAAAGGCAGCACTTTCTCCTCAGGTATTTAAAGACTCTGAGTGTCGGTCCGCCCGGGGTTTGAACCCGCGACCTCCCGCTCAGCAGACCGGCGCTCATCCCATTGAGCTAACCGGGCGGCGGTCGAAGTGTGTAGGCGCGGCGATGTTACATATTTTCCCTGATGAAGGCAGCATTGCCGAAACGTCGGAGGTTTATTTGCAATTATCAGCGTTTAACTTACCACCTTCCCACTTTTAACACACACAAACGCTACGAAGGAGCCCCCTTTATTTGCGGCAATGTTACAGTCAAGAAGTAATGGACTGATGTAAATGCATTGACAGACAAATAAATAAATAATGCACGGAGTGTGCGGAATATTATTAATTGCATTGAATCTCTCTCTACCAGCCCTTAAGGCAGGTGAAGTTTTAATTATTTCAACCTAAATTTATCCAAAAAAATATTTTTCCCTTAGAGACTTATCTAGGAACAACATATCAAGTCTTACTGATGGAGTGTTTGCAACACTGAAATATCTTGGAGACTTGTAAGTAATGATTTAAAGGTTAACTTTTCCTTGTCATTCCAACAACTTCTTTCACAAAAGAAACGCGAGTGCATATTCTCACTTTTAAAATTTTGGAAACAATATAGAGAAACTGAAAAGCACAAAGTATTTTCCCACACAAGGAGACGACTCTCTGTTATGGAGCAAAGTCAGTCTTAAAACAACTGCTGATTTCCCCTCAACGTTAAGTCGGAGCTAGTGTCAGTAAGACAATTTACCACAAGATCCTTTAAGGTTGCGTGTTACAGCACAATAGTGACAATAGTGCCAGGAAAATGTCAGATTAAGGGATCAAAACGCAATGGGCACAGTTCTTTCTTTTATATTTTCTACAGGAATCTCAGTAAAAATGCTCTTAGGCACATCAGGACTGGAACGTTTAGAGGCTTATCTCGGTTAGAATACTTGTAAGTATAGCTGTAAAACATCCGCTTTTACGAAATTTGGATGCATGACCAACCAAATTTTCTCTGTGAAAACGACTTCTCCCTTATTCTAGTCAAGCTATCAAGAATCGTGAAAAAAATGACATCACGGATAAAATACGCTTTTTATCTTTGTCAAACATGTTGATAAACCTGCATGTTTGTGCCTTTGAATCTTGTAGAAAAGGCGCTATATAAATGGATTATTATTATTATGTCAAGATTTATAAATAGCTCCATTGTGAGATTTGCTCTGTGCTGTAAGATTCTAAAGTATAAATAAGGACGCTACCTAATCAAAGAACAGTGTCAGATTGCTTTTTTATCATTTTTTCCACAACAGGCATTTGGACTTTAATGGTATAAAGGCAATTGACCCGAGGTCTTTTTCCTCCTCAAGCTTGCTGTATTTTTTGTAAGAACAAAACCTTATATTCTTGTATTTGGTATTTGCTAATTTTTTTACTTTTTCAACTTTGTTATCATTCTTAGCATTATTAAAAATATATACGGCTTGAATTAAGTACTGTTTAAAAAGCGAGCAGGAGTGTATTATCAGGTTTACAAACTCGAGGCGAAGCCGAGAGTTTTTACACCTGATAATACACTACTGCCACTTTCAGTAATTGCGGATCAACGAGTAACAACTTTCAATAGTTCAGGATCAGCCTCGATACATACATGTAGATGTTATTGTAATATACTAATGTGAATACCTTGTTTGTCCAAATAAGGATTTTCTTAAAGCTGTTTTATTTCTTATAGATTATTTTTTTCCAAAGTTAAATTCTCATATTAACAAATATAACTGATCATTCTTTTGCTTATCTAGAAACTTGGACGGGAACCAGCTTACAAGAATCAATAATACAAACTTCCTTGGTCTTAAAGACCTACATCAATTGTAAGTCAGGTTAACTTGAAGTGAAGCCCGGAAAATTGCGTCTGGGGAAGAATTAAATTTGAAGTTCATTAATATTGAGATCACCGTTCGTTTCAATATCGCGTTCTTCAGCTGAACAGTTTGAAGCAGGGGCCCCCATAGCCTTGGTCTAAACAGCCTTTCTTGTAGCGAGGGCTACAATTTTATTTTTTCACTGTTGTGTTTTTCTTTGTAAATACTTTTAATATAAACTTTGGTGTATATCATTTGTTCCTTAAATGATTTTAGGTCTATGTGTGTATAATTGATCTCGTTCTTTTCCGACAGGAATTTGCAAAATAATTATATTCGAGAAATAGGTAAAGACTCTTTCAAACAAATGAAGGATCTGACCTATCTGTAAGTTGAAAATTTATAGTTTTAATGTTTAATGACATGGTGTGGATAATCTTTGAAACAATTGAGATAACATACTTATCCATTGCTTCAATAAAAATCTGTTATGCTTTAAGACATATTCAAAAAATATTAACAATTCATAAAGAAAAAGCGAAAGAAATCAATGTTTAATAAGGGTCTTTATATCTGATAAAGAAACTTCACGTCCAGCTTTTTAGACCAAAATCACCCAAGTTCTAAATATTAGTGCAAGAATGATTCGATATATATCTGAAATTTGGAAGCCGTTCAAAAAAATCGCAGTCGTGTATTTTTAGGTGTAAAAGCTATCAGTTTTGCCTCGAGTTTTTAAATTTGATGATACACTTCTGCTCGTTCTTTAAACAGTACTTCATCCTTGATGCTTTTTAGCGAATTATATATTACACAATTATGCCATTACATTAATACTAGTAAAGTAAAGTCAGAAATTGCTTGTCAATTTTGAATAAATCAAACTCATATTTAAATTTTATCATTTTTAAGAGAAAACTCAAGCAATCATGTCTAAAAAAACGGAATAAAAAGTAAATATTTGGTTTATGTTGGAGGTGTTCTAGGGCGCTTTTGCTGGTTTGCAGGCACTACACTGACAAAATAATAGAAAAATGACATTAAACCACCAAACACCCAAACGGCAAGAGGCAACCAGCTACCTATTCACTATCATGATCAATAATATGAATTCCAGACTACTGAGAAGCAATCTTATATGCGATAAACACGTTACTGTCTATATAGAAACGCAATAGTGTATTAGCTCTCTGGGCTAGCACCCATGCTTAAAACGAGGGTAGAGGAAAATAATGGGCGAGGTTTATATGCAATTTTTAAAGCGGTATTCGTTCTTATTTTCTGGTTCCCTTTGGAGCGTTACAACTAGTGGCATCGATGGGATCCACGCCTCGTGAAGACGAAATGTTGGTATTAGTGCATTAGTTTGAAGTATGAAACATTTATTATTATTATTATTTTATTAACATGGAAAAAAATTTTAAACAGCAAACGCGTCTTTTCTGAAGCACGCTCAGAACGTTAAGTACTAATTGTGCAAACAAAACAGTCAGAAGAGGAAAACTGTTTGAAACATCGACATAAAGTTAGAAGAAGAAATAATATGGTCACACATATACCATAATACAAGCAAAGAAGACAGAATGTAGCCCTCGTGAATGATAGAGAGATCAGAAAAGAGTGTCACCAAAGATTCTGGCTAGTTTTGAAGAGTGAGCATAATGCCACCAAAAGAGTAAACGCATGCAATTAACACCCTTGATGTTCCTGTAGCGCGGGCCTTATAACTTCAACATTGAAACAGTTTGTCACCTATTTGACAACCAAGGAAAGGTTTACCACAAAACAAAGCGGCAACAAAAAATGGTTCTCTACTGAGACATCTTTAATTCACACAACTGATGCATTTCTCAAAGGAATTGATGATAAGAAATTGATTGCCTGCATGCTTTTAGATATGAGTAAAGCGTTCGACAGCGTTGAATACCAAATATTGTTACGTAAAATACAAAGCATCGGCGCCTCAACCAGCGCGCTAAATGGTTTAACAGCTACATTACAAATAGATATCAAGTTGTACGAATTCATATTTCCGTTTCTGATCCTCTTCCAGTTGAATGTGGCGTTCCTCAAGGTAGTATTCTAGGCCCCCTAAGTTAAGTTTAAAACATGGTAATTAGTGATTAGCTAACATTGTAATTAGTATTAGATTTAGTGTTGTAATTATTTATAATAAATAATGTAATATAATCATTGTTCCTGAAAAGCCCCTTTGGGGAGGTAACAATCAAGTATGTATGTATGTAACATTACGTTCGCTTGAACACCCTCAACAGACAGCACTTCATATTTCTTTAGTCTAAGATTAAGACGCCACTCGAACTGACATAAGCAGGGAAAAAGTTTTCCTTTCATGTAAAAAATTTAAACATTGATTCAACCAATTTTAACCTACAGCAGTTTGGGTTGCTTTGGTGATATCCGA